AGACCTACTTTAATCTCCTAAAGTAGTTTACTTACAGTTCTCTCAACTTGCCCCCCCCCACCCCCCATTTTCAGGGTGAAAATTCTATCCCCGTGCATTTTTTTTTTTTTTTTTTTAATTTTTAAGTTTTTTGAGATAGGTTTTCTCTGTGAAGCTCTGGCTGTCCTGGAATTCACTACCAGGTTGGTCTGGAACTTACTGAGATCCACCTACCTCTGCCTCCCAAGTGCTGGGGTTAAAGGCATTTGACACGTGCTACCACCACCCAGCCCAGGCATCTCTCTTATTGTATTCTATGCAGCATCCCCAGTGCCTGACATTTAAAGGATGCTCGATGTATGATATTTGTTGAATGAATAAATAACTGACTTCTCTGTGCATACATTTTGGTTCCTAAACCATTGGTACATTAATTTACTTTTATTGCTTCTCCTTCTTTCCTATTTATATATTTATTTTTTTGTTGTGCTAGAAATTGAACTCAGGGCCACATACATTCCAGGCAGGGCCAGTACTCTGCCCTAAGCTATAGTTCTAGTCTCTCTTGATTTATTTTTGTTTTTTCGAGACAAGTTTTCACTGTGTAACAGTCCTGGAACTCACTCTGTAGACCAGGCTGGCCTCAAACTCACTGAGATCTGCCTGCCTCTGCCTCCTGAGTGCTGCGGTTAAAGGTGTGTACCACCACTGCCTGGTTTATTCTGTCACTTTAAAAGATTTTCTTTACTTTTTTGTTACATGATCACAGTGTTTTAAGATAATTTTCCTTCATATCTGGTTATAGGCGGTCTCCCCCTGCCAGGTTGATTTTTTTTTTTTTTTTTTTTTCCGGGTGGTGGTGGTAGGGTTGGGGTTGAACCATGGCCGTTTCAGGTAGTCAGGGTTGGCCTCAAGGTCACTTCACTAGTAATCTGAAGCCTTCTACTGAGTCACATTATCTCTCACCCCAAGGTACTTTCCTTTTTTAAGTTATAAAGTTTTATTTATTTATTTGTATTTTCAAGACAGGATTTCTCTGTGTAACAGCCCTGACTGTCCTTTAACTTGCTTTGTAGACCAGGCTGGCCCCTGTCTCCGCTTCCCAAGTCCAGGGATTAAAGGAATGGTCCACCATGCATGGTTTACTTAATTTTTGCATGTATGTCTGTGCACCATGTGTGTGTGCCTGGTGCCTGAGGAGTCTAGCAGAGTCAGGCTCCTCTGAGATGGAATTACAGACAGTTGTGAGCAGCCATGTGGGTGCTGGGAATTGAATCTGGGTCCTATGGAAGAGCAGCCAGTGTTGTAACTGCTGAGCCATCTTTCCAGCCCCAAGATATGGTATTACAAGTTTAATTTTAATTTCTGAAACCTAAAGAAAACCCTTTGAGATAGGGTTTCCTTGTGTAGCCCTGGCTGTCCTGGAACTTGCTCTGTAGACCAGGCTGTCCTCAAATGCACAGTAATCCACCTGCCTCTGGCTCCTGAGTGCTGGGATCAAAGGTGTGCACCACCAACGTCCGGCGAAAATTTACACTTCATATAGCCTTCCTCAGCACAAACACTAACCCTGTGGGAGCAGTGCTGGAGGAGCAGGGTTTGTGTTCTCAGTTCAAGTTGCTATGGGGCAGTTTGGGTGGCAAATTCCAGCGGCCTGTGATGATGACAGTGACTGCTGAGTTGAGACCCTTGGCTCTATTTCTTCTTGCCTCAAGTGGAAGGAAAATCATGAAGATAATTTAATGTCTTTGGAAATTTGGTAGATTGGATTGGAATTATTTTTTCCCTCCTCTTTTATTCCCCTTTGCTTATTAGAAAGTATTGATTCTGAAATAGAGAGAGTTTATTAGATTTGGGGTGGACATTGATTAGCTGTAATCCAATTATTGATCCTCATAGGGAGATGTTTGTAAACACGTGCTTTTTACACCTTGATGTTACTGCTAATCAACCCATTTGAAGCTGAGCACATATGAGATCTATATCCACTTGGAGTGGGATTGCATTGCTTGTGATTTATTTAAATAGCATTCTCTTGATTTCCCATTTAGTTTCCCTAGATGAGGACACCCTCCTCTTGACAGCCTCTATAAGCCACACAGGACTGTTTTGAGCAGGCTGTATCTCATGCTTGAAGACAAAGCCGTGATCAGTAGAGTGGAAACTGTCTGACTCTTTTGTCTTTATTTTTCCCTGTTTTCTCTAGATTATAATAAGCTTGAAAGCTTAGTGAAATAATAGAGAGGTCTTATCTAAAATTTTAGGTCTGATTTAGGACTTTTTATTGTTGTTGGTACTACCTAACTCAGAGCCTGTTTGTGCTACGCTGGTCTTTAACCTACTTTGTAACTGAGAATGATCATGAATTCTTGATTTTTCTATTGTTGTCTTCCTAGTGTTGGAATTTGAATGTGTATCACCATGCCTGGGGTTCTGGGTTTTATTTGTTTGTTGAGACAGAGTCTCACTCTGTAGTCCAAGCTAGCTTTGAATTTTCTTTTCAAGCTTTATTTTTATTTTATGTATATGGGTGCATCACCTGAATATATTTCTGTGCACCAGCTATGTGCTTGTGGAAGTCAGAGGATGCCATCAGATCTGGACCCAGAGTTACAGATTCTTGTGAGCTGCCATGTGCACGCTGGGAATTGAACTCAGGTCCTTTTAACTGATGAGCCATCTCTCCAGCTCTGGCCTTGAACTCTTATCAGTCCTCCTATGTGTTTTGCTTACAGGTGCAAGCCATCACACCTGACCAAAGTTTAAATATTTTTATTACATTTACTAATTTGTGTGGGTGCATGTGTATATGGTGTATGTGTGGAGGTCAGAGGGCACCTTGGGAGTTGTTTCTCTCCTTCTACCATGTGGATCCCTGAGATGAAAGTGAGGCTGTCAGGCTTGATTCCAAGTGCCTTTGCCTGTTGAGTCTGTCACCTGCCTGTCTGGCCAGGGTTTTGAGACAGAATTTCCGAGTGTAGTTGAGGCTAGCCTGGAACTTGATATAACCCTGGCTGAACTGGATTGCAAACATATACCACATCTGACCAGACCTATGACTTTTGAGAAGTTTTCCTTTTTATCTCAGAATTGGTAAGCAACCTCTGCTGAGCATTTCCCATGAACCAGGTATTTCTTTTTCTTTCCTTCCTTCCTTCCTTTCTTCCTTTCTTTTTCTTTCTTTTTTTTTTTTTTTTTTTTTTTTTGGTTTTTTGAGACAGGGTTTCTCTGTGGCTTTGGAAGCTGTCCTAGAACTAGCTCTTGTAGACCAGGCTGACCTCGAACTCATAGGCACGAACCAGGTGTTTCTAAGAGAAGAAGTATGTGATGTAGTCCTTATGCTAAATGTATTTAATACCTGCTTGGAGAAGTTATCTGTGTTTGGTACATGCTGCTACATGCTTAGAGGTGGTAATCTTCCTTTTTGGTTGTATGCATTAGGGCAAGATGATATCTAAGATAAAATCTTTTGTACTTTTGGGTACATCTTTTCTTTAAGTAAAATTTTGGTTTTGATTTGAGAGTTAATGTATATTTTCAAAATTACAAAATTAGTTCAGTTGTTTTGGATTTATCTGGAAGGGAAATGAGACTTTTCTATAGTATCCTGCTACTTGTCATTGTGTGGGCTTAGATTTCATACACAGAGCTCAGGATTTAAGAGCAAGGGAACTTGGTTAATAATAAAAATAAATCAGGGAGGTGAAGACTCAGTGTGTGTAAATCTGCACTGGAGACCTGTGGGATTTCAAGCCTCAGTTGAAAATATTAAGATTTCCTTGAAGGAAGATGTGAAGATTTGGGCATGATGCTAAAACTGCTTTTATATAGAACCGATAAATAGGTTGGAGTTTGATGTACAATAGTATTATAAATACATACAGTTAGGTTAGATAAGTAGTATATTATCATTTTGAAATAAGATTTATTTTTGACTTCTGTGTTCTGCTTATGTAGTCTCTTTGCAGAGGAATTTCTGCAGACCGTCAAGTGCAGCGTGATTTATGGGTTCGCAGTGAAGGCCAAGTGCTTCGCAGTGATGAGGACAGCTTGTGTGGGGGAAATCAATGGAGCACACCAGCCTGTAGCACACTTCCTGCCCTAATGGTCCCAAGCCCGATCAATATTTGAAATTTAACTGCACCATCATTCTGTGGGCACTGTGTGCTCTGTGCCCTTCCTGCTGTCCCCCTCAAATATGTGGCCAGACTTATTATAGATGGAGCTACTTACACGTTCCCGTTTCCTTTTAGATCTGCTTTAAGCTGTATCCACTGGCATAGTTTAAGGATTTAAATCGTATTGTGCTGTAGGCCAAGTAATATTTTAAGTCTTGACATTACCTAGCCTGGGGAAGGGATATTGAACTAATGTATAAGATCTATAACACAGTTATCATTTATTCCTCCTAAAATATTTCAGTAGATTCTGTAGTATCCTAGAGTGCTCTGGCACTGACCCTGCCTGTCTGCATCCTTCCCTCCCTCCTCCCTCTCTCCCTCTCTCTCTCCCTCCCTTCCTCTCTCCCTCCCTCCCTTGTTTTTCTTCTTTCTGGTTTATTAAGACAGGGTTCCTTGTAGCTCTGGCTAGCCTTGAACTCTGTAGCTAAGGATGACCTTGAATTTTTAATCCTCTTGCCTCCCTAGCTCCCAGATTACAGGTAGGTGTCACCAATGCTCCGACTTTGTCCGTCTTTCTTCCTTTCTTTTCTTCTTCTTTCCTTTCTTTCTTTTTTTTTTGTTTTGCTTTGTTTTTCTGTCTCTCTGTGTAGCCGTCCTAGCTGTCCTGGGACTGATTGGCCTTGGACTCACAGATATGAGCCTGCCTCTGCCTCCTGAGAGCTGGGACTAAAGGGGTGCGCCACCACTGCCCGGCTCGACTTCTGTCAAGTCACACTGTGTTTGCATTAGGAACGTTGTTGCTGGGTGTTCTGTGGTTTGAACAAATGCATCTTGACTTATTTCTTCTATTATGGTATCACACTTTCACTGTCCTAAGAGGTGTCTCACCTTACCCCACAGGTTCTCTAGCCATGGCACAAGTAGAGAAACGAGGCGGCTTGCTCCGGAAATCCTCAGCGTCAAGAAAACCGCTAAAGGAAAAAGTGGTGCTGATGTATGATGAGATTTTTATGGTGAGGCCCGTTACACTGCACAGCTAGATTGACTGTTTCTGTAGAGAATGTTAAAGTTGTGTTTGTCAGTTTATTTCTCTCTGTATATATGTGTGTTTCAGCAAGAGCTCAAGAGAACACAAACCATGGTGTGCGTATTTCCACGTGGGATCTGAGGGTTGGGCCGGACCATCAGGCTTGGGGGCAACAGTGCCTTTAGTCCCTGAGTCTTCTGGCTCTCTTTGTTTTTAAACAGTCTTGTTATATAGTTCTGTCAGGCTTAGAAATGACTGTGTAGATCAAGTTGTCCTTAAACTCGAAGTGACAATCCTGTCACATCCTCTTGAATGCTGCAATTATAGGCATGAACTACCTTGATTCTTCAGGGTTTTGTTTTGTTTTTTTTTAATCATCTTTTAAAAAAATATTATTTACATATACAGTGTTCTGCCTGCATGTGTGCTTGCAGTCCAGAAGAGGGTACCAGATCTCATTACAGATGGGTGTGAGCCGCCATGTGGTTGCTGGGAATTGAACTCAGGTCCTCTGGAAGAAATAGCCAGTGCTTTTAACCCCTAAGCCATCTCTTCAGCCCCTCAAATGATCTTTTTAAAATAAATTTATTTATTTTATGTGTATTGCTGTTTTGCCTGCATGTATGTCTGTGTGAGGGTATCAGATCTTGGAGTTACGGACAGGTGTAAGCTGCCATGTGGGTGCTGGGAATTGAACCCAGGTCCTCTGGAAGAGCAGTTCGTGCTCTTAAACCATAGAGCCATCTCTCCAGGCCCAGTCCAAATAATATTAGTCAGAAATAATCTTAGCTGCCTCCTGTGCACTCATGAGGATCGGAATTTGGATCCCCAGCATCCATTTAAAAATCTGGATGGTTACAGCAGCCCACTTGTAATCCCTGTGCTCAGAGGCAGAGATGGCATCTCCCGTGCAAGATAGCTAACTGAACTAGCAAATTAGAGTTCTCTGGGCTTAACTGAAGACCCTGCCTCAGTAGGTAAATAGAAAGTGATTGAAGAAGACCGCTTTCGTGGCCTTTGACCTCCATAGGTACAGTCACACATACACACCAGAACCCTGGTATTTACCTGTGCATGTGGATATGCTTATACCTATGCACACCATACACATACAGATACATCACTTCCAAAACAACAAAGGGAACAATGCCCCCAAGCCTTTCCATTTGCCACTTCCACTAGGCATGTAAGCCCAGCCTTCGAGAGCATGAACCGAGTGGTTATGAATATTGGTTGTTCTTCCAGAGGACCCAGGTGTGATTCCTTGAACCCATATGGTACCTCACCATCATCTGGAACTCCAATCCTAGGCAATCTGACACTTTCTGGCCTCCAAGAGCATCAGACACACACTTATACATGCAAATAAAGCATTCATACATATAAAATAAATAAAAATTTTAAAAAAGGCTAAGGCAAGAAAGTCATTACCTGGGCTGTATCATAAGTTAATAGGTCATTATAGGCTGTAGTGTAGGACCCTGCTCAAAATGTAAGCAATAACAACAACAGAGATGGTCAAGTAAGGGCTGAGGTGTGCTCAGCTGGGTTTGTTGCCTAGTATCACATAAAAGTAGTCATGGTGGTGCAGTCCTGTAATCCCACTTGGGAGGCGGAGGTAGAAGGATCAGAGTTCAGTATTATCCTTTGCTTTGTAGTGAGTCCAAGTCCAGAGCTCAAGGACTAATTGCGAGCTCTCATGGTAGAGACCTATGGTCATGTATTGATTATTATAGGTTATTATTATTATTTTTGAGACAGGGTTTCTCTGTGTAGCCTGGGCTGTCCTGGAACTCACTCTGTAGACCAGTCTGGCCTCGCACTCAGAGCTCTGCCAGCCTCTGCCTCCCAAGTGCTTGAACCAAAGGTGTGCACTACACTGCCCGACTCATTATGTTTTGAGATGACCTCAAATTCTTTATGTAGCCAAGGATGGCCTTGAGCTTCTGTTCCTTCTGCTTCCACCTTTCAGATGCTGAGAACTTAGTTGTTGTTGCCAGGATCTATGTAAAAACAATTAAATGGAGGAAGGAAGCTGCTTATCTATCTATCAACCAATCATCATCACCTGTCGTCTAATTTTATGCTTGTCTCACTAGCTTTTATAACTAAATTAACTTGTTTCTCTTCATGTACACTTTGCCTCAGGGCCTTTTACTATTTTTTAATCTGTGTGCCTACTTTCACTGCTTCCTCCATGTCTGTCTGTCTGTCTGTCTGGCCCAGGCACCTCCCTCTCCTTATTCCCTAGTTCTCTTCTCCCTTGTTCTCTTTTCTTGGCCTAGATTTCTCTTCCTACTTATTCCCTCTGCCTGCCAGCCCTGCCTGTCCCTTCTCTGCCTAGCTATTAACCATTCAGCTTTTTATTATACCAATCAGGCACCTTAGGTAGGCAGAGCAACACATCTTTACATTGTTAAACAAATGCAGCTTAAACAACAGTAACACGCCAGGTGGTGGCGGCAGCACACGCCTTTTGAGACCAGCCTGGTTTACAGAGCTAGTGCCAGGACAGGCTCCAAAGCCACAGAGAGAAACCCTGTCTTGAAAAACCAAAACCAAAACAACACTCCCCCCAAAAAACAAATGTAATACATCTTTGCCTAGTTGAAGTAATATTCCACAACAATGTATTTTTTATTTTTTAAATTGTATTTTGTGTGTGAGAGTTTTGCCGACATGTATGTGTATGTTTAGCATGTGTGCCTGGTGTTCACGGAGGTCAGAGTGGCATCAGATCCCCTGTAACCAGAGTTCCGGATGGCTGTGAGCTGCCTGTGGGGAACAATTGCTGTTAACCTCTGAGACATCGATCCAGCCCCCAAATATCTTTAAGAAAGACTTTATTTATTTATGTATTTAATTTTCCGTAGAGTATGAGTAGAGGTCAGAGGATGACTGTAGAGCTTTGGCTCTGTGTTTCCACCTTTAAGTGTGTCCCTGGGATAGAACACAGCTCACCAGGTTTGGGAGATACTTTTACTGGCTGAGCCAGCTTTATCCTTCTTTTAAAAAGTTGTGCTTGCAAAGGTAGGGGTGTGTGTGTGTGTGTGTGTGTTCATGTGTTCACAAAGGTCAGAGGAGGAAATCAGATACATTGGAGCTTTTGTTTTATGTGTGTGAATATTTTGTCTACATGTGTGATGTTTACCATGTGTATGCCATGTCTGAGGAGGTCAGAAGAGGGCGTTTGGATTTCGTTCACAGGTGTGGGTGCTGGGAATTGAATCCAGGTCCTCTGAAAGCAGAGCCCATGTTCTTTCCAGCACCCATTTTATTTTATTTTTTCATTTATTTATTTATTGGGGCAGGGTCTTCCTTTCTTTTCTTTTTTTTTTTTTCTTTCTGTTTTTTTGAGACAGGGTTTCTCTGTGGCTTTGGAGCCTGTCCTGGAACTTGCTCTGTAGACCAGGCTGGCCTCAAACTCACAGAGATCTGCCCACCTCTGCCCCTTGAGTGCTGGGATCAAAGGTGTGCGCCACCAATGCCCGGCAGAAGCAGGGTCTTTCTATGAATTCCTTGCTGCTCTGGAATTTGCTATGTAGACTAGGTTGGCCTAGAACTCACAAGAGACACACCCTGTCTTTGCCTCTCAAGTGCTGGCTGAAAGGCACTTGCTACCATGCGCCTAACCTTTGTTTTTTTTTTTCCCCCTCCTTTTTTAAATGGAAAATCTTTAAAGGAAATTTTTTGAGCCATTGTTTTACTTTTGGTGTGGAAAATATGTATCCATATATATATATATATATATATATATATATATAAACATTTTCAAAGTTAAACTTGACAGATAAAGTTGACAATATTTTTGATGCTTTTTGAGTTGGCAGTGAACTTGAACATGCTTCTGTTATGATTTCAGACGGAGGACCCCAGTAAGTGTAGTCCTCGGTTTTGGGAGGAGCTCTTCCTCATGAAGGTGAGACTGGGTGGCATGTTGGAGTTGTTGGGTGAGTAACATTGTATTCTGTATGCTAAGTGCTATGCTGAAAATCTGCTCAGGCTCTTACTGTTCTTTTGGCAGGTGAATTTAGAGTATCTAGAAGGCAAGCTGGAGTCTCTGGATGGTGAGGAGTTAATGAAGATCAAGGACAATGTAAACTGTTTATTTCAACACTGTATCCAGGCTCTAGGAGAGGAGCATCCAATCAGAGTTGTCAATGCATTGCAGGTATAGGCTGGGAGACCGGGAAGTTTTGTTTATCAGGAGAATGGAATTGAAGCTTATCGCATAGATGCTGAGGAACCTAGAATTGCCTTTAGCTGTCATGTTTGGTTTGGTTTTCTTTCCTTTTTATTTTTAATTTTTTTAAGATAAAACATCTGTGTTATTTAGCTATCTTCCTGTTTTATTTACTTATTTATTTTTTAAAAATTTACTTATTTTTTAAAAATGTAACATCTTTTTTTTTTAATTTATTATTTGTAAAGTGTTCTGCCTGCAGGCCAGAAGAGGGCGCCAGATCTCATTAATATCATTCAGATGGGTCTGAGCCACCATGTGGTTGCTGGGAATTGAACTTAGGGACCTCTGGAAGAACAGCTAATGCTCCTAACTCCTGAGTCATCTCTCCAGCCTCCTGTTTTATTTATAGTTTTAAAATACATTTATTATGGGCTAGAGAGATGGCTCAGCAGTGAAGAACACTAGCTGCTCTTCAGAGGACTCAGGTTCAATTCCCAGCACCCACATGGCAACTCACCACTGTCTGTAACTCCAGTTTTAGTAGATCTGACACCCTCACATAGACATACACTCAGGCAAAACAGCAATGCACATGAAGTAAAAATAAATAAATTATATATATAATAAAAACTCTGGCTGCCCTTTCAGAGGACCTGGGTTCCCAGCACTCGTTTGGCCGTTCAGAACCATCTATAAGTCCAGTCCTAGGGGATGCAATCCGTGCTCTTCCCTGCTCTCCATGGATGTGTGGCATGTATGTGGTGCACAGACATTCATGCAGGTGAAAAACCTGCACACATAAAAAACAAATTAAAAAATAATTAAAACCTTTATTACTATTATTTTTAGTTATATGTCTCCGTGTTGCATGAACAAGTTATCTGTGGAAACCAGAAAAGGGTATAGACTCCTCTGGTCCTGGAATTACTGTGGTTGTGAGTCACTGAGCATGGGTGCAGGGAATCAAGCCAGGGTCCTCTGGAAGAGCGGCAAGTATTCTTAACCACTAAGCTATCTCTGCAGTCTAATTTAAGTGTTTTTCTGTTTGTTTGTTTGTTTGTTTATATGCTTTAAATATGTATTTATTTGTGTGTGTGTGGAGGCCAGAGGTGAAAACTGGGTGTCTTCCCCAATTACTTTGTACCTTGCTATTTTTATTTATTTTATCTATCTATCTATCTATTTATTTATCTATTTTGAGACAGGGTTTCTTGTATAGTTTTGACTGTGCTGGAACTCTTTCTGTAGTCCAGGCTGGCTTTAGACTCACAGAGAGCCGCCTGCCTCTGACTCTGGAATTAAAGGTGTTTTATTTATTTATTTAATAATTTGAATTTATTTTATGTGCTTTGGTGTGAGGTGTCGGATCCCCTGGAACTGGAGTTACAGACAGTTGTGAGCTGCCCTGTGGCTTCCTTGGAAGGACAGCCAATGCTCCTAACCGCAGAGCCATCTCTGCAGCCCGTACTTCTTAACTAAGGAAATACTTTTGGGGAGCTCTAGAGAAGGCTTAACAGTTGATAACACTTGTTGCTTTTGCAGAGGATTTAGGTTTAGTTCCTAGCACTCACTTGATAGCTGACAGCTGTTTGTAACTCCAGTTCCAGTGGGTTCAGTGCCCTTTTCTGGCTTCCTTACATAGTGGTTTTATAGTCATACATGCACACACATAAACTAAAAAATAAATGTCTAAAACGTTTTTATTATGGGGCCAGGTGTGGTGGTGTACACCTTTAATCCTAGCACTTGGGAAGTAGAGGTAGGTGGATTTCTGTGAGTTCTGAAGTTCAGCCTGATTTATAGAGGGAGTTCCAGGCCAGTCAAGGCTATGTGGTAAGATCCTGTCTCAAAACAAACAAAAGCAAACAAAAAGATGTATGTACTGTGTATGATGTGTGTGTGGGAGTGTATATGCCACAGTGCTCCTAGAGACTAGAGGACAACCGTGTGTACTTGCTTATTTGCTTCCACTTCTGTGTGGTTCCGGGGGTCAAACTTGGCTCATTATCTTACAGAGCAAGCACTTTACCATCCGAGCTATCTTTCTAGCTCCTCACTTTTTTCCTCCATAGGAGGAAGTGGTATGTCTATTTTTACTACTGTTATCCTTATTCTCTAGAGACAGGGTCGCTGTGCCTAAAGCTCAGTCCTCGTGTGTGTGTGTGTGTGTGTGTGTGTGTGTGTGTGTGTGTGTGTGTGTGTGAGCACTGTGGAGTTAGAATGACTAGCAGGAGCTGGTTCTTGTGTCAGGCACCTTTACCTGAGCTAGCTCTTTGGCCCAGACCCGGACCTTCTGATTTTCTGCCTCCAACCCCCTAGTGCTGGGATTGTAGGTGTGCTTCTGCTTCTTAATTTCTGGATTGTCCATGTTAACATTTAAGCTCTTTTCAAACTCAAGAGTAGCAAATTGAATGTTAGCCTTGTCAAGATGTAGTTCTGAAGTTGAAGGAGGAAGCTACAGATTTAGGAAGTTTGGAGACTTCCTCTCTAGAAAGAATGCTTTTTCTCATCTTTGCAGACCTTGTGTGCACTAATTCGAGGAGTCCACCAGAAGAATAAATCTACATCTGGATTTGACATTATCAACATGCTGATGGGGTTTGACAAAGCGGAGCTGTGCATGAAGGTGAGGCACGTGGCCCTGAAGGGCTCTCCCTGGCCGCTGTTTGAGATGCTGCTGCTGCCCACAGACACTGGCAGATTTGGGTTCAGAGACTCTTCTTTTGGGTATTTTTTTGGTTTTTCCAGACAGGAATTCTCTCTGTATCAGCCAGCCTTGGGTGTCCTGGAATTCACTTTATAGATCAGGCTTGCCTCGAACTCATAGAGATCCACCTGCTTCTGCCTCCTGAGTGCTGGATTTAAAGGCATGAGCCACCACCACCCAGCTTTCTATGCCATGGATGGACTTAGATAAGATATGAGAAGTTACAGGTTCAAACTTTTGTGATGCTAGGGATGAAACCATGCTGTTGTACATGGAAGGTAAGCACTCTGCTGCCCAGAACCCTTGCTTGCTTTTGGCTTTGATGCAGGGTCTTGCGTAGCTGAGGCTGGCTGCAGACTTAAATTACACAGCATAGGACTTTTGTCGTTTTTCAAGACAGGGTTTCTCTGTGTTGCCCTGGTGGATAGAACTTTTTTTTTTTTTTTTATCATTTATTTAAGATTTATTTTTACTTTATGTGCGTTGGTGTCTCTCTTGTCTGTGTGTCTGTGAGAGGAATCCCTTGGAACTGGAGTTAGACAGTTATTAGCTGCCATGTGGGTGCTGAGAATTGAACCTGGGTCATCTGGAAGAACAGCCAGTGATCGGAGCCTTGGAGCCAACTCTCCAGCCCCTGCATAGAACTTTTTAAAAAACTCTTTGTGATTTTTCTTTTAGGTTTATTTATTTTATGTGTATGAGTGTTTTGCTTGTATCTATGTCCGTACTTCACAGTGCTTGGTGACTGAGAAGTCAGCAGAGGGCATTGGATCCTCTGGAATTGGAGTTGTAAATAGTTGCCAGCCTGATGTGGGTGCTGGGAAACCATTATAAGTCCTCTGTAAGAGCAATGAGTGTTTTTAAGCACTGAGTCATCTCAGGTGAAAAAAAAGAAGCATTAAGTTTAATTTAAAGAAAAGGAAAAACAATTAGAGATGACAGCCCAAACAGTGGGAAAGCCAGCTCCTGAGAGAGAGCCGCCAGCTCCTGAGAGAGAGCCGCCAGCTCCTGAGAGAGAGCCGCTTGGTGATGGTGCTGAGAAGAGAAATGCCGCTGACTTAAGAAATTGTGTGAGCTACTTACAAATGAATTAAGAGCGGGTAACCCTAACCCTGGCCATTGAAGAAACGTGTGCGTGTGTGTATATAGTGTGTGTGAGCACCCACATGCCATGGGAGCAGGTGTGGGTCATCAGGGTGAAATGGCAGGCGGGCATCTTTGCCTGCTGAGCCATCTTGCTAGCCCTCCTCAGTATCAAAATGTGTGCAGGATGGTGGGGTGGTGGCGCACGCCTTTAACCCCAGCATTTGGGAGGCAGAAGCAGGCAGATCTCTGTGAGTTCAAGACCAGCCTGGTCTACAAAGCAAGTTCCAGGACAGCCAGGGTAAAACAAAAAACAACAAAAAATGCATACACAAAAAAAGCAACAAAACAAAATGTATGCCTATGTCTTTCTTTGTATGTCTTGTACATTTGAAGGGGCAATTAATTACACAAAGTCCCCAATTTCTACACTGGCTAAGTTCTCTGTATCCGCCAACTGTCAAGGAGGGACATGACACTGTCTCTCTGGGCAAAGGATTTATATAATTCTTCATATGTCTTTTCGTCAATCTCTGCGGTAGTCCGAGTTTCTTCTACATCTCCACAGTAGCATTTAAATGTTGGCCATAAGTGTGTAGCCTGCACTGGAGTGCTTGCTCATTGCTCACGCTCACATAAATTGGTTCACTCAGGCTGAGCCTGGTGAGACCCAGGAGCTTGTCTTGGTGTTAGCAGTCCATTGTTGCCATGGGTCATGTGCCGTGTTTCAGACCTGTGCCCTTTCTTCTCTTGATTTTCTTGCTTTCCATCTTCCAGCTATTGGGATTACAGGTGTACACCACCATGCCCACACCATTGTTTTTGTCAGGGTGGGGGTGGGGTAGGTCTAGTTATCTTGTCTAGGCTGGTTTTGAACCTACAGTTCAAGTAATTCTTCCTGCTTCAGCCTCTTGAGTAGGCTGGGACTACTGGCACATACCACCATGCTTGGCTTGAATTAAATGAAAGATTATGCTTACATTTTTATTTACACACTTGTATGTGTGTGGAATAGTGGGTATGGGGACATCAGAGGACAACTTTCAGGAGTTGATTCCCCTTCCACTATGTGGGTCCTGGGGATCAAACTTAGGTTGTTAGTCAAGTGCTTTTGTCCACAGCTGCCCTTTGAACTTTTTAAAAATTAGATTTATTCATGTTGTGTTATGTGCAAGTGTTTTACCTGTGTGTATGTATGCTTGATGCCCTTGGAAGACAGAGGAGGGTGTCAGATTTCCTAGATCCGGAGTTCTGGATGGCTGTGAACTGTCATGTAGGTGCCTGGAGTCCAGCCTGGGTCCTGTGCAAGAGCAGCCAGAGCATTTAACTGCAGAACCATCATCTCTCCAGCCCCATGTCCTTTGAATTTTTATACCCATCGTTTGAAACTAGTTTTTTCCTTCTGCTCCTCTTTTTCCTCTTGCTGTGTCCCCCCTCCTCTACACCCCGCCCCTGGTGTATGAGTCAAAACGAGGGTTTGTGCATGACTCGTTTTAGACAGGGCTTTAACACTAAGACACTGTCCTTATGATGGCACTTTCATGACTCACATATTGTATAGTTGGCCCTTAAGTTGAACAAGCATCACCACTTTTAATTTAAAAACCAGTTTTAATTGTCTCTCAAAAGAAAAAATATGATCCTCTGAGTGCTGAAATCAGACATATGTCTGGTGTCCATTTGGGATTGAACGAACAGCCTCATGAAAGCTAGGCAAGCACTCTGTCAGCAGGCCACACTCCCAGCCCCTTCTCTAGCTGGTGTCCCTTTCCTCTTTGGAAAAAAAAAAGTGTGTGTGTGTGTGTGTGTGTGTGTGTGTGTGTGTGTGTGTGTGAGAGAGAGAGAGAGAGAGAGAGATCGAGAGCAAGCTGTGTATGTGTTTATATGACGGTACATATGGAGGCCAAAGGTCAACATTGAGTGGCTTCTGTCAAGTTCCACATTTTTTTTTTTTTTATTTTTGGAGACAGGGTTTCTCTGTATTGTTTTGGAGCCTATCCTGAAACCTGCTCTGTAGACCAGGCTGGCCAGAGATCCACCTGCCTCTGCCTCCTCAGTGCTGGGCTCAAAGGCATGTACCACCAACGCCCAGCTTCCACCTTATTTTTTTGAGACAAGATTTTTCACTGAGCCTTGGAGCTGTAGACTAGCTACCTGGTCCACAGGCCCCAAAATCTTCCTGTCTTTTCCTTTTTAGTGCTGGGATTACAGGCATGAACCACTGTGCTAAGCTATATATATATATATATTTGTGTGTGTGTGTGTGTGTGTAGGTCAGGGGTTGATGTCAGGAGTCTTGTTATTAATTTATTATTAAAAAAGCTTTATAACATTTTATTCATGTGTGCGCACGTGCATGCCATCCATGGCTTATGTGTGGAGGTCAGAAGACTTGATATTACTTTCTTTTGTCTTTCTCTTTAAACTAAAAACACATGCAAGTTTCAAGGTCTTACTTTGAAAATGTAGGGTAGATAGATGTTCACATGTTTAATTTAACTGAAACACACTATTTTATTTTTGAGGCAGGGTTTTTCTATTTTGTAGTCCTAGCTGTCCTAGAACTCACTGACTCAATATGTGTATTAGACTGGCCTCAAACTCACAGAGATCCTCCTGCTCCTGCCTCCCAGTGCTGGAATTAAAGGTGTTTGTCACCACATCCAGCTGAAACATTGTATTTTGAAAATCCAACATGCTGAATCCTAAATTCTACTGTTTTCTTAGAGGTTTATTTGTTTATGTGTGTGAGTTGTTTAGTTCATTTTGTTGTTTTTTGTCTTCATGCATGTATGTGCATCATATACACAGCTGGTGCCCTCAGAGCCCAGAAGAGGGTGTTGCATCCCCTGCAACTGGAGTTATAGCTGGCTTTGAACTACTGCGTGGTTTCTAGGAACCAAAAAACCAGATTTTCTGTAAGAACAAGTGTTCTTAACCACTGAGCCATTTCTCTAGCCTTGAATTTTTTCCCCTTTATTTAATGTAGAATATTTTTTCTTTCTTCCTGTATCACAGTTTGAAGATTTTACCTTTTATTAGTTTATGTCCAAAAGCTATTTATTTCTTTTTTTAGTGCAATCACCAAATTCTAACCATACTGTCAGTTGTAGATGAACCCAGCCAGCTTTGTTAGATTGCTCATATGGCCATTAGATGGCCAGTAGTGAATTGGTACTGTGTCTGTCACTGGTTTACTGCACCTGCATGATGCAATTCCTTTAACAAGTAATGAAATCATGTATAACTACTAAACCATTAGGTTTCCCTTTTCCAAACTACTTCAGTGTTCTAATGTTAAGGTTTATATATGTATAAAGCTCTGAACATCCATGTAGTATAGGAGTGAATACCCTATTATTCACTGCAGTTGTTCTAAAATATTTCCCCCCAAGTAGCTAGACTTTGAAGTCATTTCTTTGATCTTGCATGGCCTGGACTAGGGAAATGATACAGTTATTTACTTTACTGTGAGTAACACAACACAACACTGGGTAAAGATGGGGTGTTAAGTGTTGCTTGCTTGGAGTGCTTTTAATGTTATGGTTCTCTTTCCCAGAACTTGATGGAGAGTTTGGATTCCTTACTGTGTGCAGAAGGTTCTGAGAGCCTGAAGAGTTTGTGTCTGAAACTTCTTCTTTGCTTAGTGACTGTAAGTGACCACCTGTGTGCTTGCCACGGGATTCATTACATCAGAGCCACAACTAGTTGAATACTTCCTCCCAAAGGTGAAAGAAATTCTCTACTAGGGTATTACATCATTCCCCTTTGTCTCAACATATAGGAGTTAGTTGTATAGAATTGTGGTTTTTGGAAATTAACCTTTGAGCAGTTGCTGGCATTTTTAGTCTATAGACTATATGATATTTACCACTTGATTTTTTATTTTGCTTAAAAATTTTAAAAATTGTGTGTGTGTGTGTGTGTGTGTGTGTGTGTGTGTCTGTCTGTCTGTCTGTCTGTCCCCTTCCCCATACATAAAGTCATATTGGTCAAAAGAACTTTCAGGAGTTGGCTCTCTCCTTTCACCATGTGGGTCCCAGGCTGGAACTCAGGTCATCAGGCTTGGTGGCAAGGGCCTTAACCTGTTGAGCCATCTCCCCAGGTGATACATGTCATGTTAGAAGGACTATTCTAGGAGAAGTTTGGGATTATCTTATTTTTCCTTTTCATTGGCTATCACTTAAAAATGGCTCTTGGGATTCTAATTCTTGGGATAATTTTTTCTTGCTGTTTGCTTTAACATTTTTGTTTCAAGAAGATGCTAGGGTAAGAGATACATGTGAGATGTCAGGTATATTGGTCCAGACTTTTAAAAGCTTTTCATTGCATTTAGGTTACAGACAACATCAGTCAGAATACTATCCTGGAATATGTAATGATCAACAGTATATTTGAAGCAATTTTACAGGTAGGTCAACTTCCTAATGACCTTTCCCTTGTAGATAGACAATCTCTTGAGATTTTTAGTTTGACTTCCCTAGAACCAGGACTTAATCCTTAGGAGTTATACATTCTGTGTCTTGTTACAGATACTGTCCCATCCTCCAAGTCGTAGAGAGCATGGCTATGATGCTGTTGTCCTCTTGGCTTTGCTGGTGAACTACAGAAAATATGAGGTAGGTGGGTCCCTAGTATACAATTGTTTTTCCATGATCATCTTGCTGGGCACAGCAGCCATCTTAAATTGTTTATGCAGAAGACATGCTCTTGGTAAACGGTATTCTTTTTTTTCTTCCCTTAAACAAAGTTTTATTTTTATTTTATGAGAATGGCTATTTTGTCTGCATGTGTGTCTGTGCACCATCCATGTTCCTAGTACTGATGAAGAGGGCATCCAGAGCCCCTTGAACTGGAGTTACAGACGATTGTGAGCCGCCATGGTGGTGCTGGAATTGAACCCACACCATCCAAAGAGCAACCAGAGTTCTTAACTGCTGAGCCACTGCCAAGGCCCCCCTTTTTTCCCCAGATAGGGTTTCAAGTAGCTTAGGCTGGCCTCATTCACTTTGTAGCTGAGTATAACCTTGACTTCTCATCCATTTGCTTTTACTTCCTGATTGTGGCATTATGGTCATTTACTGCCATGCCTGACTTTACCTAGGAAGTTTTGTTTTGTTAACTTTGTTTTGAGACAGTCTTACTTCATGTCTTTGGCCAGCCTGGAACACACATAGTCCTGCTTGTCTCTCCTGAGTGCTAAGATTAAAGAAATGGCCACTGTACTCAGCCCTCTAGGAACTTTTTTCTTCCACAGACAGGTTTTTTTCTGTTAGCCCTGATCTGTAGACTAGGCTGGCCTTGAACTCACAGAGATCCACCTGCCTCTGCCAACCCCTCCCCGCACTGGGATTAAAAGTGTGCATCACCAACACCCAGCAGGAACTTTGTAAAATAAAAGAAGGGTTTGTGTTAACTCTGGTTGTATTACACTGAATCAGAATTTGTCAGGGTCGTTTGTCAGGACTGGTCGTTTATTTTTTAAAAGATCCCCACCTGAAGTTAGGTAAGGGTGCTCATGCCTGCAATCTCAGCACCTTGCAGGCTGAGACAAGAGGCTTGCCACCAATTCAAGGGTAGCTGGTGCAACATGGTGAATTCTGGGCTAAAACAAACAAACAAACCCCCAGCAAAACAGAATGAATTTCCATGTAGGAAATAAACCAGTGTTAGTAATCATAGGCTAGGGGCTGGAGAGATGGCTTAAAGGTTAAGAGCACAGGCTGTTTTTCCAGAGATCCTGAGTTCAATTCCCAGCAACCACATGGTGGCTCACAACCATCTGTAATGAGATCTGGTACTGGTTCTGGAGTGTAGGCATTTATGCAGGCAGAAAACTGTATACATAATAAACAAATAAATCTTAAAAAAGAGAGAGAAAAAAACTTTAATAAAAACAAAAGAAAAAAATCACAGGCCTACTGCATCTGCTTTGGAAGATTACTTGTATGTGTGTGTGACTGAGTGCATATATGTATATTACATGCATGCAGTTATACTTAGAGGCCAGAAGAGGGCATTGGATTCCCCTGGAATTGGAGTTACCTGTAGTTGTGGTTGTGTTGTCTGGCATGACATGGGTGTTGAGAACTTAACCAGGGTCTTCTGCAAGAACAGCAAGTGCTTTTTGTCACGAAGCCATTTCTCTAATTCCAGTTTTTGTTTTTTTAAATAGGGTCCTGCTATGTAGCCCTGACTAGCCTAGAGTTCAGTATGTAGAGCAGGCTGATCCTCTGTGAATCTTCCCATCCCTAACTCAGTTCAGTTGTATGATGTGCAGGCCTATGTGACTTTCTGGCAAGGCTAGCTTTATATGTCTTATTCCTTAAGTGGTCTATGTAGTACTGCTGATCTAAGAGCTAGCTGTTTTTTTGGAGACAGGGTTTCTCTATGGAGCTTTGGCTGTCCTGAAACTTGCTTTGTAGACCAGGCTAGCCTTAGACTCACAGAGATTCCCCTGCTTCTGCCTCCTGAGTGCTGTAATTAAAGGCGTAGACCACCATCACTGGGCTGGATTCTCTGATTTTAATGAAGATTTTGTTTTAATTTCTTTTTTTGGTTTTTAAAGACAGGGTTTCTCTATAGCTTTGGAGCCAGTCCTGGAACTCACTCTGTAGACCAGGCTGGCCTTGAAGTCACAGAGATCCACCTGTCTGTGCCTCTAAAGGCATGCCTGGCTTTAATGAAGATTTTAGTTGAAAGTACTACTTTATCTTTAGCAATACTGGAGGTTACTTACCCACCCCCTTGCTGCTCAGAGTGTTGGCAATCCTGCTTTGAGTCCACTCACCTGTGATTTTAGTGTGAAGACAGGACTTCATACAGCCTGGGCTGGATTTGAAGTAGTCTTCCTGCTTTCCTCTTCCTAGTGAATCTCTGTGCCCCACCCCCCAGCACACATCTCTCTCCCTCCTTCCTTCCCTCCTTTCTATACAGAGTTTCGTTCTATAGCTCAGGCTGGCCCCAAATTCATGGTGAGCCATGCCTCAGTCTCCCAATATTGGGTTGTAAGTGTGTAGCACCATACCCAGTGAGCCTCTTGGTTTCCGTTTTTGAAATGAAATCCAGAACTCAGAGAATAGTGTATGTGTCTTATTCCTCTGAGTGCATAGAGACCGAGGGGTTGCTGAGGGAAGCCAGGATCTCCCTGAGGGATGGCCCTGAAGAGTAGGAGGCAGCTGGTAGACATGGAGAACAACTCTCTGCAGTCAGGTACTGTGCTAGGGTAACCTTCTTCACCAATAACCAAGGGCTCTGAGAGTTATGGTCGCTTCTTAGTTTACTGGACTATGTCTGCTGAAAAGTGTGCCGGCTGCTGACAGGACTTTTAAAAATATTTTTCTGAATTTTTGGCTCTTTGGGTTCTTTTAACTTTTCCTTCCATCCTTTCTTCCTTCCCCCCCCCCCCCCCCGTCTTTCCCTCCCTTCCTTTTTTCCTCCCTCCCTCCCTTTTCTTTCTTTCTTTCTTTTTTTTTTTTTTTTTTTTGAGGCAGGACTTATTTAGGCCACAGGCTTGCTTGGCTGCCCTTGTACTTGCTGTGTGGCCTAAGCTGGCCTCTAGCTTTCAGGACTCTCCTGTCTCAGCCTCCCAGGTCCTGTGAGTACAGGCATGTGCTGTCATGCCTGCATCACTGAGTAACTTCATTCAGAAACACCGAAAGAGATGGGTGTTATTGTCATGAGGAGAGGCCTCGAGAAGAGAACACTTAGGAGAGTCTGGCATGCGTGGAGCAACGTTAATGTGCTAGAAATCCCAAGAGCTGGGCATGTTTATTGTCCTGGAGTGTAGAACTACAAATAAACATGTAATTTATCACCAGTACCTGTTTTTACTGGCAATCTGCAGGTGCTGTTGTAGACATTGTGATCTCTGTCATGTGTAAAAGCCTCTGGGGCCTTATTACAACAGCAAGAAAAATAGCTGAGGAAAAATGCTGAGGGAAGCTGAAGAAGTTGAGTTCTGTGTGACAGGAATGTGCTATTGTCACTAATGAGTATTTTACAACCTTCTGGTGGATATAGCCGTTCTGAGGCAGTGGCTTGGCTTCTCTAAGTGCAAAGTGAACCCTGGATCAGCCCAGTAGGGCTCTGAAGTGTCAGCCTGAAAAATGGGACACAGCCAGGAGCTAGAGAAAATTGTATTTCTAGAGTGAAGCGTGCATCTTTGTTGTGTCAGAAACCCCAGAAGGGCAAGCTGGTGGTCATGCTTTCTCAGGAATTTACAACTTTGTATATAAGCCACTCACTAGATGCCATTAAAGAAGCCTGATTACAGTGGAACAGGAAGGTTTTTGACAAGAGCATGAGGAATTCCAAATGAACATAGCTAAATTAAACGCCAGTAAAATTTTATGTGAACCAGTAGGAGAAAGTATGCTGGGGAGAATATTTTAACTACTACAGTGTTAATCCCATGACCAGTAAGACATGTTGTAAATCTTTCTAGAAAGGGGTAAAGGTATCAAGAGACTAGTTGGATATAAGAAATAAGTAAAGATCCAGGCAGTGGTAGGGCACACCTTTAATCCTAGCACTCAGCAGGCGGAGGCAGGTGGATTTCTAATGGTCTACAGGGCAAGTTGTAGGATGACAGCCAGGGATACATAGTGAGGCCCTGTCTTAAAAAAAGAAAAAAAGAAAAGTGCTTTGCTTTTTCTAAGGGTGACATCTCTAGGTCAGCCAACTGCTGATTTTTCTTTCTGAGAATCCACCTGCACCGGATCTTGACAGCCTGTATCATAATAATGTAAAACGTAATAAACATTTGGGCTGTTATGAGAACAATAACTTTATTTTTCTGCCCCCCATTGATGTGACGGATGCGGATGCGCTTTGAAACTTGGTTAAATGAGGTCTGTGTGGGGATTAGCCTTCCAGGTTTGGTTTCAGGTTTCTTAGTGAGTTTTCTTGGTAGCTATAAAACTTGCCAGCCTGAACTCTTCTGTCACTGCCCTCCTTGGGTTGGAATTAGTCCTTGGTGCTCAGGGGAACTTTCCTCATGTCCTGTGAGTGGGATGTTTTTAAGGTGAGCAGGTCATTGGCTCTCATCCCTCTTCTAAGAAGTAGTCCTATCTTTAATGAGTTTAAATGTGTGCCCAGCTGAGACGGGGTCTGGAAAAACTCAAATAATCTTCCTGTGCTGTAAGTGATGGGACAATCACCAAATCCCAGTGTCCTGACCAGATTGTTGGTTGGGTAATAACACCCTTTTCTGTAATCCCCCCGCTGTGTTATTTGGGTATCAGATCTCCATAAATGGCCTCTCTGGCTGTTAAGCAGCTGCCACTTCCCACCCCTGAGGTGGCTTTGTTTTACGGGTGGGTGAATCAGTCCTTGCATGTAATTTTGAAATGGTTAGGGAGCCTTTGGGACGAGAGTGTAAGTTAGCAACATACAAATATGTGTCTTAAGGGAAAGAAGGTTTTATTTCTCTCAAAAGACAGTTGTCCCTATGGACTCACAGGACAGGAGAAATTGAGTTTGAATTTCAGAGTATTCACTTTTTATAACAAGGAAAAAAGGAGAGGTAGATGAACATAGACACGAGCTAATTCAGGCCAGAGGAGAATGTAGGTAGAACAGAACTGATTTTGTGTGTATGTGCCCACATGTACACTTGACAGATAGATGCCTGTGTGAGGTGAGAGATTTACTGTTAGCAGGCAAGATGCTTTGGGTTTGGGTACTGGGAGCATGACTGTGGGAAGATAGCTTACAGATGCACTTTCGTTACTACTTTAATTAGCTACCAGGCTTTCCTAACGGGTCATACTTACCTTCACTCTTCTCTTGTTCAATAGTCTGTGAATCCTTATATTGTGAAGCTGTCTATTGTGGATGACGAGGCTACGCTCAATGTGAGTATCTAGATTCTGGACTTTTTGGTATTGTCTTGCTTGCTTGCAGTGGCCTTATTTTCAGTGAGCATTAAAAAGATAAGAAGCTGCTGGACAGTGGTGGTCCATGCCTTTAACCCCAGCACTCGGGAGGCAGAGTCAGGTGGATCTCTGTGAGTTCAAGGCCAGCCAGGGCTACACAGAGAAACCCTGTCTCAAAAAACAAACAAACAACAACAAAAAACAAAGCTAAAACAAACAAACAAAAAACCCAGAAAGAGCCAGGTGTGGTGGTGCACACCTTTAGTCCCAGCACTGGGGAGGCAGAGGCAGGTGAATATCTGTGAATTAGAGGCCAGCCTGGTCTATAGAGCTAGTTCCAGGACAGGTTAACTAACTAACTAACTAACTAACTAACTAACTAACTAACTAACTAACTAACTAACTAACTAACTGACTAACTAACTAAACCAAAAACCCAGGAAGCAGTGCGCTTTATAATAAGTTTGGTTGTTTTTTGAGGCAGTCTTACTGTGTAGCCACATCTGGGCTTAAACTCTGGTCTGCCTCTTCATTGCTGGAACCATATGTGTTTCCTGGTGCCTGAAAAGAGCATCGGATCCCTGGAACTGGAGTTACAATGGTTGTGAGCATCCATGTGGGTGCTGGGAATTAACCTGAGTGGCAAGTGCTCTTTACTGCCATGCTGTCTCTCCAGCCCTGGAATTTCTGCTTACAGAAATACAATCTGTATTGTATTGATACTATTTATAGCCTGACTTTAGGAAGCTGAAACATGAAGGATGATATATGTCTGCTATATGCATCTGTAAAATGACATCTGCTTTCTGGATATAGGGCGAAAAAGATGACCAGGTATTTGACTTTATTTCCTTACTCTTCAATCCTTTTGTTGTTGTTGTTGTTTTTTCAGACAGGGTTTCTGTGTAACAACTCTAGCTGTCTTATAGCTCACTTTATAGACCAGGCTAGCCTTGGACTCATGGAGATCTGCCTGCCTCTGCAAGTGCTGGGATTAAAGGCATTCACCATCACTGCATTTCTTTATTTCTTTTAATTTCCCTCATGAAAAAGAATGTTCATGTCTTTACCTTGTGACCTTAGTAGGTCTTTATAATATGCCTTACAGATTCTGGAGAAAAGTGGGTTGGTCATTGTCTTAGTTAGGCTTTCTATTGCTGTGAAGAGACACCATGTCTATGGTAACTCTTATAAAGGAAACGTTTAATTGGAGTGGCTCACTTACAGTGCAGAGGTTAAGTCCTTTATCTTCATGGTGGGACATGGTGGCATTCAGGCAGACATGGTGCTGGAGAGGTAGCTGATCTTTCTACAACAGGAAGTGGTCTGAGTGTCACACTGAGTGAAGCTTGAGCAAAGGAGACCTCAAAGCCCACAGTGACATACTTCCACCAGTGAGGCCATGCCTACTCCAAAGCCACACCTCCTAATAGTGCCACTCCCTATAGGCTTATGGAGGCCATTACATTCAAACTACCAAAGTTATTTTAATATTTATTCTATGCTTCTTTGCTTTCCTTTCCTTTCCTTTCCTTTCCTTTCCTGTTTTCTTCCTTCCTTCCTTCCTTCCTTTCCTTCTTTCTTTCTTTCTTTTTAATTATGCTAGCCACACGACTTTAATTTCAGCACTTGGAAGGCAAAGGCAGGTGAATCTCTGTGAGTTTAAGGCCAGTCTGGTTTACATAATGAATTCCAGGACATCTAGGGCTAGTTTTGTAGTGAGGCCTTATTTCAAAACAAAACCAAAAAAACCCCACCACCAAAAATTTGTTACATTTATTGTGTGTGTGTGTGTGTGTGTGTGTGTGTGTGTGTGTGTGTGTGTAACTTGCAGAGTCACTTCTCTCTTTCACTCTGTGGGTCCTGGGGATTGAACTCAGGCCCTCAGGCTTGCCAGCAATAGCCTCTACCTGCTGAGCAGTCTCACCAAGCCCTTTCCTGTTTTCTTGCAGCCTGAGAGTGGCTTGCCTATTATACTCATCTTCATTTAATCTGAGACTCAATGTCACTTTTGTTGTGACTGTTGGGATTATGTGAATCTTTTTGTATGAATCTTTTGTTTAGTCCCTTCAGAAGTGAAAATGATCCCAGGGAACTTCTCTGCTTTTTGCCTCTTGTTACTCAATATTAAGTGACCTGTGGGAACATTAAGCAAAATAATTAATTAGTAACAATCTTTCCAAAGAGGGTTGCTTTTCTTCCTCCTTGGTTTAGGATTTTCGCTACTTTGACTAAACAAACAAACAAACAGAAATTCTACTTAGAATGTCTGTCCTTGACTCCAGCTTTCTGGCAGACCTTCTTGGGTGTAGACTTTAGGGTTTATTGTTCTCCCCGGCTGTGATGCCAAAAGCACCTGAAAGTCCCTTGCTTATTTCAGGTGTGCTGTGTTTTCTCTTCCAGGGAATGGGGCTTGTGATCACTCAAGCTTTATCTGAGTACAACAGGTGAGTCTACTTCTCCACAGGGGAGAGGGCTGATTTCCTCTTGAACTGGGTGAATAGGGAAAGGTTTGTTAGAATTCTTAGATGAAAATTCCTAACCAGTCCCAAAAGCATAGGTAAGAGGTCTGGCTGGATGGGATGTAAGTGCTCAGCTTGATGGTACCCGAGGGTTTGTTTTCTATCACCAGGGGAGAGCAGCCATCGTGTTAGTGTCCACCTCTAGTTCAGACATTTAGGCACATTCTTTTTCAGCCTTCGGTATTTTGTTGTAGAGCATTTCACTATGGTCATAGCTACAAAGCATGCTTTTCCTATCCAGTGTGTCATGGAAATACCATTTTCCATGTAAGAAAGCTTCTGAAGCACCACTTTAAAATTCTTCTTTTTATTCTTCTTCCCCCCCCCCCCCAGACAGGGTTTCTCTGTGTAGCCTTGACTGTCCCGTCTTGGAACTAGCTCTGTAGAATAGGCTGGCCTTGAACCTTGAGGCCCACCTGCCTCTGCCTCCAGAGTGCTGGGGTTAAAGGTAAAGTCCTTTAAAAGAACAGAGAGAAAGCGTACTGAGTTAGGTCTCATTTGACAGATGTGCATATGTTGCTTCCTTCCCCTGAGAATTGAACCCAGGGCCTTTTGCAAGCTGAGAACAACCTCTGTTACTGAATTACACTCATGAGCCAGATGTTTCTTTTTCATTAATGATTTCAACTTCCCAGAGTCCTTGTTTAGTCTCAGGCTCTCTTAAGTCAGCGCTTGCTTTTCTTCATCCCATGGGTAGGGAAGGATTTGGCATTCCATGAATTGGCCCCAGAAGTATCAGTAATCCCACTAAGGGCCAGCCGGTTTGTCCCATCTCCACAGATGTTTTAGCGCTTCAACTTTCTTCCTCCTTCAAACAAACAAGGTTTTCACTGTCACAGCCTGAAAGAATTTTCACTGCCACACTTTTCAAGTAATCATCTGTTTGGGAAATAACTAGATCAGCCATATGCTGGAGGAATTTCACACTTTTGCAGCTTGCTTTCTAAGTCTCTCCCAAAGTAGCCAGGCTTTTTGGTACACACTCCTTCAAGAGCAGATGGGAGCTTCTCAGCTTGCGGGGGCCTGCGGTGGCTAGAGCGTCATCCTGCTTTAGTTCTGGAGTCAGACATTCTGAGAGTACTCTGCCCTGATTACCTAGAATGTCAGGGTTGAATATATACTTGTTAAAAAACCTTGAAGTTTAATTTAGTTATCTTTTTAGGCAGTATAAAGACAAGGAAGAAGAACACCAGAGTGGTTTTTTCTCTGCCTTAACAAATATGGTAAGTTTTTCCTTCCTGTTGAGAAGTACAGGAAGCCTCCAGGGGTGGGCATATTTGGGCTCAGTTCAGATATCTTTGAGGTAGTGGTGTGAGGAGAGTGTGGGTATTCAGAGCAGATTCGATTTTATTTAGAACTGTATTTTCTCCATTTACTTACTCTTTGGAGACAGACCCTCAGTTTTTAGTATAGGCTGGCTTGGTACTCACTCATGACAGCCCTTCTGCCCTACCCTTCCCAATTTTGGTTATATTTTGGGCCACCAGACCCTGGTTGGAACCATAGCAGTTTTATCCAATCCTAAAACCAAGTTAAATAGGGAAGAGGGGAGCTTTGATTTTTCTGGGACTGATTTTTTTTCCTGGTTAATTAGTAAATAAAAAGTATAACTGGGCTTAGTAGCAGATTAATCCCATAATTGGGAAGGCTGAGGCAGGAAAATTAAGAATTTGAGGCTAGCCTGGGTTACATAAAGAAATCTGGTTTCCAAAACAAAGGAGGAAACTGGCATGGTGGTCCATGACTTTAATCCTAACACTTGGGAACAGAGGCAGGGAGATCTCTGAGTTCCATACCAGCCAGGTCTACAAAGAAAGATAGAAAAGGTCTGCCTTAATGTAGACTTTTTCTGGGAAAGGCAGATCTCTATGAATATGAGGCCAGTTTGGTAGATACAGTGAATTCTAGGCCAGGCAGAGCTATGTAGAGAGGCTCTGTCTCCACCAAGAATTGGCCTTGCAGTCCTAGCTACTTGGTAAAACGAGGAAGATAATTTGAGCCTACATATTCAAGACCAACTTGAGCAACATAGTTAAGATTCCATTTCAAGAATGAGTTGGCTCTGTTTAGAAGTTGACTGTAGAACAGAGTAGAAGGGGGTAGATATGAGTGTTGTTTCATGGTCTTCTGTGGCCACATGATCCCTAGTGGCTGTATCAGACATCTCACTACCATGCTCTGTTTACATGGTGCTGAGGATTGAGCCTGCGCTTTGAGCATGCCAGGCAAACATTGAAACCACAGGCTGGAACTAACTGTGTACACCATACCTCCTGGCAAGAAAAGGAATCTTTAAAAAGATGAAATAAGTATAAAATGGAAAAAAAGAAAGGGAGATAGATAGGTATAAGTGGGTCCTCAAACGGAGGCAAATTTGGAACCCATTTGTGGGGGGCATTTTGTTCAAGTGCCCTAGAGCTGAGATAGTTTGTTTATTCAGCAAAACAATTGTTCTACCACCCTGGGCAGTTTTTCTCCTGGTGCCTAAGCATTCTTAACCCTTTTCTTCTTAGACCCTGATTTCAGAAGAATCTTATAAAGGTTTTAACTCTGAGACATAACTCACAGAAATGTCTCAGAGGCTATATATAGAATGTGAATTTTATATTTATACTTGTTTATATGAATTAGAGTATATTGTTCTCAGACATCTTCAATTTTTTTAAAGGTAGGGTCTCATGAAACCCAGGATGGCATTGAATTTGTTCTATATAGCTGAGGATGACCTGGAACTCTCTGACCCTCCCTCTACTTCTCAAGCACTTAGTTTGCAGGTGTGGACCACCACGTCTGACTTCTGATACTATGTGCATTAAAGGCAGCTTGTGCCAATTACTCATTGCCTTCCTTGACAGGGTGTGATCTGAAAGGAGAACGGGTTTTCCATAGACAGCTCTAGCTGGTTGATAGCAGCCTGCTTTCTCTGAAGTTTAAACATCTATTCCTTTTGAGACAGGTTCTGACACTCTAGTTCATGTTGGTCCTCACTACCTGTGTATCCCAGACTAACTTGAACTTGTGAGTTTTAGATTATAGCTGTGAGGTATCAGGACAAGCTTGAAGTTCTTGGTAAGTCAGTTTCTGACTGCAAGTAAGTGGCTGCCTGGAGACGTGCTGTGGTTACAGTATTTAGGTTGACATCTACCTTGATACTTACACATTGAAGACTTAGTAGGAATCTTATTATTTTATTTATTATTTGTAAGTCTTTCACAGTTTTCATAGTGGTCTGGATTTTGTGTCACTGATGGCCCATAGTTCCTTGTTCTTTGCTACTACATTAGTTTTTCATTGATTAAATCCTTAGGCACAGAGCTGCTCTCCTGGCCTCTTGTGTAAAATGTGTGATTCCTCTTTCCTTCCACAGGTGGGCAGCATGTTCATAGCAGACGCCCCTGAGAAAATCTCGGTACAGTAAGTACTTGGACTTTGTGTAGGCTCTCTTGCTGAGTGTGAGAGCAGAGAGCAGAAAATGTAACCTCCTATCGACCATTTACAGATTTAGAACATCTTTTGGAGGGATTAGGACTTTTTTTTTTTTTTTTGATGTTTTCTGAAGTGTTTCATGTGTTTTAAGCAACAGTGGATTCTTGGAGAGCTCTGTTTTAGAGGCTGGGGTTGATAGGATGCTTACTTAGCATGCCTGAAGTCCTTGGCTTGATCATCAACGTTAAATAAACTGGTTGTGATTGGCACATGCCTGTTATTCCAGCGCTCCTGAGGTGGAGATGGGAGGATCAGAAATTTACCATCTAGACAACATGAGATCCTGTGTTAAAGAAAACAGAAGTAAAGTTTTTGAGACATGATCTTGCTATGTATAGTCCTGGCTGCCCTGGAACTCCCTGTATAGATCTTGGCTGGCCTCGAACTTGTAGCAGTTCTATTACCTCTGTCTCCTGAGTGTAAGGTCACTATTATTAGTTTTGTCTCTGGAATGAAATGAATGAGGGCTGGGTGTAGCCTCTTACAGCGTTAGGTGGGTAGGAGTGGGAAGAACTGGTCCTAGGGCTTCAGGTTCTTAACCTGTGTTCTTGTGCATATGTCCAAAAGGTGAAAATAGAGGGGTTGGTGATGAGGAGCTCTTGATGGTTATAATGTCTCACATTCTCTACTCTTTAAGAATGAATCTTATTTGTTCTCCTTTTCTTTAGGACCAATGAGGCCATTCTTCTGGCACTTTATGAAGCTGTCCATTTAAATAGAAACTTCATCACAGTGTTAGCTCAGGTTGGTTATCTTAAAAGTCCCAATCCTGGCTGGGTATGGTAGTCTACACCATTAATACTAGCACTGGGGAGAGAAGTAGGTGAATCTCTATGAGTTCAAGAACAGCCTGGGCTATATATTGAGTTCCTTCCCAATTCCTTTCTCCCTCAAATTTTATTTATTTATGTTTAATTTTTATAATGTTGTGGAATCAAATCCAGGACCCCATACATATTAGGCAAATGCTTCTCTGAGCTGTATTCTCAGACCTCGCCTTAAATTTCATACAGATTTATTCCATTAGAAAGTCCATTTGAGCTGGCAGTGGTGGCACATGTCTTTGATCCCAACACTGGGAGGCAGAGGCAGGTGGATCTCTGTGAGTTCAAGGCCAGTCTTGCTAGGAGTAGGTTTTTTTCCCCCCACCGGTCTGGTCCCACCACCGCACAGGCCCCAAATAAGACGCAGAGGCTGTATTGGATATTAAATGCTGTTGGCCAGTTACTAGTTTCTTATCTGCTGGCTTTGTCTTAAATATTAACCCATTTCTATTAATCTAAGTACTTCCACGTGGTCTCATCTTACCGGAGAGAGGGGCTGGAGCTCTTCTCTCTCCGTCCTCCATCTTCAATCTCCTTCCTACTATTTCCTCTCTTCTCCTAGTTTCCTAGTCCCACCTATCTTGCTTTCCTATTGGCCAACAGTGCTTTATTCATTAACCAATATGAGAAACGTATTTACAGAATGACATCTCCCATCACAGTCTGGTCTACAGAGCTAGATCCGGGACAACTAAGAACATTAAAAAGAGAAACCCTGTCTTAAAAAAAAAGTTCATTTGGCTGTGCCTGTTTAAACTCAGTTTTGTAACAAAATGTTGCATAAGTTGCCTATGGTTTGTGTTGCGCTCAAATGAATGTGTTTAACTAGTACTCAGGTAGGTCTAATGGCATGCAACATTAATGGCTGGACTAGTTTACTGATTCTCTTAACGTTGGAAAGAGCTGAGATGTGGCTGGAGAGATGGCTCGGGAGTTAGGAGCACTGGCTGCTCTTCCAGGACCCGAGTTCATTTTCCAGTACCATATGGTGACCCACAACTGTCTGTAACTACAGTTCAGGGAATCTGACCCCTTCACAGACATACAAAACAGATAAAACATTCATGAACATAACATTCTAAATCAATAAATAATAAAGAAACTATGAAAAATTAAAAAAAAAGTTGAGATTACTACATATCACTGATGGGAGATGTCATTCTATAAATATATTTCTCATACCGGTTAATGAATAAAGCACTGTTGGCCAATAGAAAAGCAAGATAAGCGGGACTAGGAGACAAGGAGTATTCTAGGAAGTAGTAAGGAGAAGTCAACATGGGGAGACCGGGGAGAACAGAGGTCCTGCCTCACTCTCCGGTAAGATGAGACCACGTGGAAATACTTAAATTAATAAAAATGGGTTGATACTTAAGGCAGAGCTAGCCGATAAGAAACTAGTACCTGGCCAACAGCATTATACGTAAAACAGTGTCTCAGTGTGTATCATTTGGGGCTGGCGCCACAGTGGGTCCAGCCGGCAGGGGAAAAACCTTACTCCCTACATATTACCTAATAGAATCTGCTGGTATTAGTTGCTCTATGGAGTTATTGGGGTTTTCTGTTAGGCTGCCTTCTTTCTAAACCTTTATGGGAATTACAACTGGAGATAGAATAGGCCAGGTCACTTACACTATTATCTTACCAGAGAACAAAAGTAAAAACAATCATTCTAAGCAGGATGTGTTAGTTAGTAGACAATTGAGGCCAAGAAGATATAAGGTACTTGCTCCTATGCCTAAGGGGTAGTTAGCACAGGAAGGGACTAAAACAAGCTAGGACAGAAGCCTATGAAAACTATCTTTCTTTAAAAAGTGAAGTGTTTTTATCTTAATGGCACACTGTTTAAAATATGCTTGTAAGTTTTTTTTTTTAATACTTCCCCTGATGGGAGATGTCATTCTGTATATGTTTCTCATACTGGTTAATGAATAAAGCACTGTTGGCCAATAGGAAAGGAAGATAGGAGGGACTAGGAGACAAGGAGGAAATAGGAAGTAGGAAGGAGGAGTCAGCATGGAGAGTCTGGAGAGAACAGAACTGCCATTCCTCTGCTCTCGGTAAGACCATGTGGAAATTACATAGAAATGGGTTAATAATTAAGATAGAGCTAGCCGATAAGCAACTAGTAACTGGCCAACAGGATTATATCTAATACAGAGTCTCTGTACATTATTTGGGGCTGGCGGCGTGGCGGCAGGACAATACCAAGGCAGCGGTAGGAAAAAAGTACCCTTACACTCCCCCTCCCTGCCCCTTTTTAAAGTGAGACAGGATCTCACTGTGTAGGCCTGACAGGCTGTCCTTGAACCCAGAGGTCCACCTGTCTCTGCTTCCTGAGTTCTGGGATTGACAGCATATGCCACCATGCCTGTGTGTGTATTTCTTTTGTTTCTTCTAAAGGAATCCACTAGTAGAATTTTAACTAAAAAGTATGGCTGTGTTTTGAAAACAATATGCTACTTTGGGGTGTGTGTTAGACTCTTACTAGTTTTCATAAGATAATGAAGAAAGTTTATCTACTATTCTCACCAAGTCTCTTGTCTGTCCATCAAATTCCATAACAGGCTGAGGAGGTGAGAAAGGTAAAGACTGGCAAAGCTGCTGAACAGGGAAAGGATTGGAGATGGAGGAATGGCAAAGTGGTTAAAAGCACTGGCTGCTCCTCCAAAGGACCCGGGTTTGATTCCCAGCACCCACATGACAGCTCACAACTGTCTCAACTCTAAGATCTGACACCCTCACACAGACATACATACAGGCAAAACACCAATGCACATAAAGTAATAATTTTTTTAAAAAGGAAAGAAAAAGGAATGGGATCCTAAAAAGATCTATCCCTGAGCCTCCTTCCTCCAGTAGATGTGGCGGTGGCTAAGGAAAGCCGAGAACATGGGTCACCTGTGTTGTCCACTCCAGATTTGCCTCTGCCTTCACATTCTTCATATTCTTGCATGTTGTTTTCCCTTACATTGTGTGTGTGTGTGTGTGTGTGTGTGTGTGTATGTGTTAATGTAGAGGTCAGAGGATGACTTTTGGGAGTTAGTTCTGTCCTTCTACCATATGGGTCCTAGGACCAAAATCAGGTCATCAGCTTGGCAGCAAGTACCTTACCCTCTAAGCCATCTTGCTAGCCTGCATGCTCTTTTCCTTTTTAACAGTAGTGCTGCCATCAGCATAGCTCTTTTCATGATTCCTAGCGCCCCCTTAGTTTACCTACATCTGTCTGTCAGTTCTGTGGCCATGAAAATAGTATATACATTTGAATAATTTATTTACTGTTTTTTTAATATGGCTCTACAGAAAAACTTGTGTAATAGAACCCAAATTTCATAATGAAATTCATAATGAAATTCCATGGTGCTTCCTGCTGGAGCTCAGCAGGCGTCAGTGGTTATCAAGCACTCAGGGGCGCTGAATGCAGGTCCTCAGTGAGCTGTTCGTCTCAGTTTGCTCCAGTAAACATGATCTTCTGTTTTCTTACCCATCTGTTCCTCTTTCAGAGCCATCCAGAAATGGGGTTGGTGACAACCCCTGTCAGTCCTACTCCAACAACCCCAGTCACACCACTTGGAACCACTCCACCCTCTTCTGATGGTAAGGCCACCACTTCTACAGTGTTCATGACCAATATGATTTTAGATCTTTCTCTCCCCCCCTTTCCCCTTCCTTCCTTCCTTCCTTCCTTCCTTCCTTCCTTCCTTCCTTCCTTCTTTCTTTGTCTCCCTCCTTTCTCTTCTTTTTAGAATCACAGTTTTTCTGTATAGCCCTGGCTGTCCTGGTCTGTAGATCAGGCTGTCCTCAAACTCAGAGATCTGCCTCTACTTCCCAAGTGCTGGGATTAAAGGCGTGCACCACCATTGCCTGGCTGGCTCAGTGTTAAGCATAGCTGTATTGAGCATAGAATACGTTTCTTAATTTTTTTAAAGTAATAATCCTTTTAATTTGTTTAAGTGGGTAATTAGTGTTGGTATACATCTGTAATCCCAGCTACTTGGCGATTGAGCTAGAAGGATGACAAATTCCAGGCCTGCTTGGTCTGCATAATGAGTTCAAGGTCAACCTAGTGGACTTATTGAGGCCCTATCTCAAAATTTAAGACAGGAAGGGGATAGAATTTAGTGGTGGAGCCCTTGCCTAGCATTGGTGAGCGTTAGGTGTAATCACCAGACAGAGGAAGAAGAAGGAGAGAAAGAAAAGGAAAACAGAAAGGGAAAGATTTGTCAGCTGGGGACTGTGTCACATGCCCAATATTCACAGCATCTGGGGTCTGAGATGCTCAAGAGCCACATGAGCACAGGGATTTGAGACTAGCCCGGGTGACACAGTAGACTATTGTGCAGGAAAAGAAAAGAAAGTATATGATGCTGTCCTTTAGACTGTCTCAAGTCCCAGAGATAAGTCTGGAAAGATAAGTGAGTGGAGTGTTTCCTTGTGTGAGAAACGGCACGTGGAGCTGGAGAGCAGCTTAGTGATGGAGAGCACACCTCTGCTGCAGAGTTCCCAGCACTCAGTTCCCAGCACCCACATCAGGCAGCTCTCCACTGCGTGTACTTGACAGAGAACCGACAACTCTCGCCCTCCAGGCACAGGCACACACATCCACATAATTAAAAATTATAAAAAAGTAGTTTATTTAAAACCATGTGTGGTAGTGTAACCCCAGCTGCAGTTTGGCTGCATGAAACGTCTCAAAAAAATTGCTAGCCAGGGTTATGGTAGTAGTATACCCATAATTCCAGCTCTTGGGAGGCAGAGGCAGGTAGATTTCTCTGAGTTCAAGGCCAGTCTGGTCTACAAAGTGAGTTTCAGGACAGCCAGGGCGACATAGAGAAACCCTATCTTGAAAAACAAGCAAACAAACAAATAAACCCCACAAATACACAACTAAGAAACAGTATACCCCTGAAAGTACTCGTGGGATGCTTGAGGGACATGCACAAAGCCCTGGATTTGCTTGCCAGGGCCTTACAAAAATTTGGCATTTCAGAACATGTCTGTGATAGAGAAGGAAACAGGAGAATCAGAAAAGTTCAAGGGCATCCTTAGCTACAGAGTGAGTTTGAGACCAACCTGGCCTTTATGAGACTCTGTCTGAAAGAATTGAAAAAAATCTACATTAATACTTGGTGTTATGTTTCAGATGTTGAGCTCATTTTGTGTAAATGGGTTTAAGAAATACCCAGCTTTGGGACTATCAAGATGGTTCAGTGAGTAAAAAAGTGCTTGCTGTACAAGCCTGACGACCTGAATTGGATCCCTTAGTTATCCACGTAAGGGGAAAGGAGAGATGTCCTCTGATCTTCCTATGCATGTATGGCAACATGAGCTTCCCACAGTAACAACAACAACAACAACAACAATAATAATAGTTTTTTGTTTGTTTTGTTTTGATACAGGGTTTCTCTGGGTAAGAGCTCTGACTGTCCTGTAACTAGTTTTGTAGACCAGGCTGGCTCAAACTCACTGAGATCCACCTGCCTCTGCCTCCTGAGTGCTTTAGTTGCAAATGTTCATTGCATTGAGTTGTTGGCCTGGTTCAAGGCCTCTGGCTTATGCTAGCTGCACCATCAATACTGGATCCTCACTGAAATTCCCCCAGGATATTCTGCTGTTTTATGAGTCATGGAGATCCTGTGGCTATGGGTCCACAGGACCAGTCCCTTCAGGTCACAGATGAGGTGGATGTTAGGGTCAGCCCCTATGCACACATCTACCCTCTCCTCCCTCTCTCGCTCTCTCTTTCCTTCTCCCCTTCCTTCCCTCCTTCTCCAGACAGGGTTTCTCTGTGTAGACCTGTCTGTCCTGGAACTTGCTCTGTAGACCAGGCTGGCCTTGAACTCAGAGATCTGCCTGCCTCTGCCTCCCAAGTGCTGGGATTAAGTTGTGTACCACCACATTTTATGTTTTTGGTTGTGAGCCTAGCCTTTAACGGCTGAGCCATCTCTCCAGCCCAGTACCACCACATTTTAATATGGCTCTTTGCATTTGAATTTTAAGGCAGTATAGGCATCAGAGAAGTATGATAAGGAGCTGTCATTGATATTTAGATCTATGGCAACAAATTGGATCTGTTTAGAACTGAAAGCCAAATTCCAGCATTTCTGAATGAGAAGAAGCTTAGTGAGAGTTGTCTGCTTGTCTGGTTCTTCAGGCCACTACATAAACCAGTGAAGACACTGCACTTTCTCTTTAAGGATGGCTTGCCTAGTTACCATGGATATGAAAGCCGTACATGTGTGTTTGTGAGTGTGTGTGTATCTCAGTTCTGTGCAATGCTGAGGTTTGGATGCTTCAGTTCAGGGAATTGCCTCTCAGCTGTTGATTGTGAACACTTCACCCACACACTTGATTATGCAATGGCAGGGTTTGTGCTTACCTACAATCACTGAGCTTTTAGTCTTCTAGTGGGAAGCTTGTCAGCCCACTTTCAGATGACAGGTCTCTCTTGACAAAAGCTCCTGGGAAGATTACAAAGGCAATGGTTAAGGAATGATACTTGCTTTGGGAGGAGATTTTAATTTGTGAGGGATTTGATTCTGTCTTTATTTTATTCTGCTTTTCTTCTCTCCTAACTCATTTCCTTTCTGTAGGGGTCCTAAGTTTTATAGCCTTATTTTCAATTTTTGGTTTTTAATTATAGTGCTGTTCTGTAGCCCAGTTATATTTAAAGGTATGTCACTGGTACTATTATTTTTAAAAGCCAGCAGTTAGCAGTAACATTTGTTCGCAGCTCAGACTTGACATTTGACAACTCCGCCTTGGCATGAGAGGACTTTCTGGTAAACTAAAAATATATATAGTTCTATATTTCTACATATTATGTAAGATAGTTTTCTAGTTATCGCTGTGTGTGAGTGGGGTAAAACTTCCAGTTACTAGTTAGATAAGAAAGGGATGATTATGGATTCTGAGTTCAAAATGGCTGTGGTTTGAAGTGAAAGGCCTATTGTACCTTTGAGGTTTGTTGTTTTTTTTTGAGCCAGGCTCTCTCTTTATCTCCCAGTCTGTCCAGGAACTCTTTTAGTGCTTCGATATAAAAATCAGTTTATCTTTTATTCGTTCTTAGGTGCCAGATTATGGGGAAACAGCCAAGGGTTGGGCAGGCTAATTTTTTTCTCATAAGGCTTTTGCTGTGTGTTGTGGAACAGTAGAATACAGTGTTTCCCATGGTTAATAAATGTCCTCTGCATGCATTATAATAACTCCAGGGGGATCCATTATGGTCATGAATACATATTATGACTAATATCCCAAACCTAGCAGTATGTTCATAGTTTGAAATGTAGCAGAATGTAATAGATTTTCAAATGTCCCTGGGCCATCTTGAGGTTCTTTTTGTGTATGTATTATATTTTAGACACTGCTAAAGTACTTAATAAGTTGACTAATTCTAATTTAAAGTCTTTGAATCTTGGGGACTCTTAAGTTAAAGCTACTGTGGTCAGGTCAGTTCTGGTCTGATTCCCATTGTTCATTGGGGCCAGGACAGCAGAGGAAGGATCTTCTGGAAATAGGAGAGGCGTGTACTGTTCCAATTCAAGGGTGCTAGTCAGCAGTGTCCACCAGTTTCCAGTCTGATGCTATATTTCAGGTTCCTTTTCACAGCAGAGATTAAAGGGTAGAATTTGAACAATTCTGCCTTAACTTTTGCTGCTTTCATCTTGGGTACTTTTAGTGTAAGGGCTTGTTCTGCATAGTGAGCAAATTTCCCTTATTAGGAAGAACTTTTCGTTTATTTTAAGCAAGAGACTCATCAAAGCAAGGCTCATTCGTATTCACTACAACTTTTTCCTTTAGTTAGAATGACAGTGCCTCTAGGAAGGACCTCCAGCTGTTGATTACTTGGGGCTGGAATGGAATTAACATCCTTTTCTAGGATGTTAGGTGAAACAATGTCACTGGATTGACCCTAGGTGAAAAAGAAGGTTGACAGGTTTAGGGAGAGCATAGGGACTCTAGAGGCCTAGTAAGACTAGATAGAAATTTTATGGAAAATATTTGGTCCTCTCTCTGTTGTGGGAAAAATTTATTTAGTCATTTTCTTGCCTGCTGGCAAATTGGCTATGTGGGTAGAAGTGTTAGGTGGAATGTGCTATGGGCTAAGTGTTCTATTTGTTCTATTCCAGTTATAAGTTCTGTGGAACTCTCACTGGATGCAGATGTACAGACCAGTAATCTACTGATAACCTTCTTAAAGTATAGCTCCATTGTCATGCAGGACACTAAAGGTAAGACATGCTGCTTTGGAGGTGTGGCTAGCAGTGGCTTAATTTTGAGGCTTTGACCTATGAACCCTTGGGGCCTCCTGTGTAGGTGATGACCTGGTCTCTGACAAACAGTGATTTCTCACTGTGGGTGACAATTAGGTGGTGTTGGGAAAGCCTGGAGTTGGAGGAATATATAATTATAGAAAAGGAAAAATTAGTAAGAGTTTTTAGCAGGTCTTGGTGAGTGGATGCACGGTCTTCTGTGTGGGAAGTTGGGTGGGGGGGCATTAGCTTGCTTCAGGGAATTCCTGAAAGCATTAGCTTGTGGTAAGAATTAGAGGAGATTCAGAGGGCTGTATTTCTTATCACTTAAAATAGAAATGTCACTGATTCTAGATACAGCGTGGAAGAGGGAGAGAACTGAGGGTTGGGATTGTTTTGCTGTGAGGTAAGGGCCGTTGGGGCCCTGGGCACGGCTCACCAGCATAACAGCGTCATGGCGGCTGGCGCCATGCTCCTGGCTCCTGGTCTTCATTTTGCAGCAGCTTTCTTTTTCTTTTTGGTTTTGATTTTGTTGTTTGTAGTTTTCTTTTTGTTGTTGTTTTTGGGACAGGGTTTCTCTGTGTATATTTGCCTGTCCTGGAACTAGCTCCTATAGACAAGGATGGTCTTGAACTCACAGAGATCTGCCTGCCTCTGCCTCCCAAGTGCTAGGATTAAAGGTGTGTGCCACCATTGCCTGGCAATTTGTTGTTTTGTGATAAATTGAGATCTGTCTGTCTGTCTGCCTGTCTATCTTTCTATCTGTGTTAAAAGAACTGTACAGTGATCACCTGTCTCCCACTGACACTCACTGTGCCGGGTTGGCCTTAAACTCCTTTTGTTTGGACTGTATCCCTTTAAAGGACATTGGAGATACCACTCTACTTCACGTTTAAGTACTTTGGCCTCATCTCCAGAAATTAGAAATGTTTTCCTAGATATCTAAAATGTCATTATTATGTCTAAAGAATCCAACAGCATCTCTCTAATTGTGTGAAAAACCAGTTCACATTGAAGTTTCTCCTGTTACCCTCAAACCTTTCTCTTCTCCTTTTTATAAAACTGGAAGTCCCATACATTTATATTAATTAGTAGCTTTTAAGTTAGATTTAAATTTTCTTCATCTTTATTTTGACACAGGGACTCATTGTGTATCTCTGTGTGGCCTGGCACTCACTATGTAGACCAGGCTGTCCTTGAACTCACAGACATCTGCCTGCCCCTGCCTCCATAGTTCTAGGATTAAAGTCTGCACCACGTGGCTTGTCTTGATCTCTGCTCTTCTTCCTTCCTTCTCCCACTTAAAAGCCTCTTCCCGTCAAGTCCCCATCCTGATTTCTTTCTTTGTTTCTTTCTTTGTTTCTTTTTTTAAGATTTATTTATTTATGCATAGGAATGTTTTGTTTTCATGTATGCACACCAGAAAAGAGCATCATATCATGGGGCTATAGTTACAGACAGTTGTAAGCTGCGGATTGAACTCAGGACCTCTGAAAGAGCAGCCAGTGCTCTTACCTGCCGAGCCATCTCTCCACATCTCTATGTATGTGCCCCTTGCTACCTTTATGTCGCCTTTTGTGTGTGGCTTACTGAGTTTCAGTGCTGTTTGAATTTATGTGCATGAGTATGTGTGCCTAAGAGCATGTTTGTGTACCACATGCGTTGGGCAGGAGCCTATGGAGGTTGGAAGAGGGTGTGAGATCTCCTGGAATTGGAGTTACAGACAGTTATGAGCTGTCTTGTCAGTGCTGGGAACTGAGCCAAGGTCATGTCTTCTGAAAGAGCAACGATTATTGAGACCATCTGTAACACCCGCCCCCACCAGTTTAATTACAGGGTTCTTGCTAAGTGTGGGTTGGAGGTTATTTTCTGGAGCAAGGGTAATTTAACCATAGCCACACCACTGAGGAATGACATTCCTCCCCCAGTAGCTGTTAATTGCCAGTAGTCCCAGAAAGAAGGATGGGTCCTCACAGGTCCCTCTATGTCCATGATGAAATGTCCATGCCCAATCTTTTTTTTTGAGACAGGGTTTCTCTGTGTAACTTTGTAGACCAGGCTGGTCTCGAACTCACAGAGATCTGCCTGCCTCTGCCTGCTGAGTATTGGGATCAAAGGCGTTTGTCACCACCCGGCCTAATGCCCATTCTTGTGTATATTTGCTTTGTCAGGTGTCTGGCTCTCACATTCCTTTTGTTCCCTCTTCCTGATGTTTTCTGAGCCCTGGAGCAGGTGGTAAAGCTGTCCCATTGAAAGTCAAGTGTTCAACATTACTTAGTTTTGACACTTTGGCAATTACTGGTTTCTGCACTAGCCATGGTGTCTTAGGGTTTTTCTTGTATGTCTATAGCAACTCTTATAAAGGAAAACATTTCAGTGGGGCTGCTTACAGTTCAGAGGTCTAGTCTATTATTGTCATGGTTGGAAGCATGGCAGCATGCAGGCAGACATGGCGTTGGAGAGGTAGCTGAGAGCTCTACATCTGGATCCACAGGCAGCAGGAAGAGAGTGAGAGACACTGAGATTGTCTTGAGCCTTTGCAACCTCGAAGTCCATCCCCAGTGACATATTTTCTCCAACAAGGCCACACCTCCTAATAGTGACACTCCCAATGGGCCTGTGGGGGCTGTTTTTATTCAGAACACTACACCATGGGCTGTTCTAGTAAGAGGCTTCTCTGATAAAGACTTCTCTCTCTTGATTTCTTTCTTTGTCTCAAGAATCCTAGGTTGGCCTCATACTTGTTCTTTTGTAGAGGCTAGCTTTGAACTCTTAATCTTTCTGTCTATTTACAAGTGCTGGAATTACATATGTATACTACCATACCCACTTGAGTTATTAACTTATGACATGAATAACTTCAGATTCCCGTATATCATAAAAGCCAATTTTATTGTAGAACCAAAACCTGCTAGAATCCATTGTTTTTGCTGCTTTGTCTTCTGTGAGGAGAGTGTGCTGCTCTGAGGTGGTCTGAGGCCCCTTTCAGCATGGTTTGTACTTCAGAGGGCTTTTGTTTTTCAGTTGAGCAGCTTTCTGTTATGAGGGTTTTCAAGAGCTCTAGAAAGGAAGGAAAGACCAGGTTCAGGGGCTCCAGAGTGAGGAGAAAGCACCGTAGACAGTGATCGGAAAGATGAAAGATGACTATGGGAAGTGAAGAGTTTCCAGAGCTAAAGGGAGCCTGGTGTGTGAGTCTAAGCTGTGCTGTGTTCAGACATTGCATGCTCTATTGGAGATTGCTGCCTTGAAAGCTTGGGCTTTTATCTGATTTCTCTTTCAAGAATATGGAATATCAAGAGATGAACTCCATGCACATACTCCCTGTCACCAACTCTTAACATAGGACAGTCCATTGAGAACTGCTGAGGTGGCTGATTTTTTGAGACTTGACGAGTGAGATCTGGTAGGCGAAGATAACAAGACTCTTGTGTGTCTGAGTTTCCTGAGGCTATTTCTTCCTTATGGAAATGGGTAAACTGTTTCTTTCTCTACAGATATTGCAACAACCACAGCAGAAAGAAATTGCATGAATGTGACCCAGAAAAAAATGAACTTTTAGCTTTTCTTAATATAACACAGTGAATTGAAGCTCTTGGAATGCATATTTAGCTCTAACAGTTACATAAGCATCTGTTCTGGTCACTTCAAATTCATAAATACAAGCCCAAATTATGGATTAATTAATAGCCAGTATGGGTGTTCATAGTGTCTATAGACTGCAGTATATCTTTGCCAACAGGCAAGGACAAGGTTAAGTATGCTGAATAGTTAACTTCAAAAAATGGCTGTTGTGTGGTTCATATGTCTGTCTCTTCTCTTGTTTTATCCCAAGACTTGCTGTACCATGCCCTGGCTACAGGATCTCATTATCATTGTTAATATTATTATTATTCCTGTATGCATACATACACACAATATGTGCATGCGTGTGCGTGCGTGCGTGTTATGTGTGAGTTGCATGGGTGTGCCAGAAGAGGGTGTTAGATCCTTTGGAGGTAGAATTACAGTCTTGAACTACCTTATGTATATATGTTAGAAACTGAACTCTGTCCTCTGGAAGAACATTCTTTAACCACTGAGCACTTTGCATCATCCTGTATTACTTTGTATGTTATGAAGTATAATAAAGTAAATAGTATGATAATAAAGTGAGTGTGAACATACTACACTACACGATTTTTAAAAAACAGATGTTATTAGGTCCTTCCTATGCAGTTTTTGAAATTTTATGTTTTCATCTCCTTGTTTTGGTTCTACTTTTAAAATCTTTTAAAAATACTTGGTACTTTGTGTCTTTGGTGGTGTTACCTTAAAGAGAAATCTGGTTTCTCTTTAAAATAGGCACTAGGGTTGGGGAGTATTGTTTAGTAGTAGAGCTCTTGTTTACCACATCTAAGACTCTGGGTTCAACTGGAAGAAAAGGCATGGGCATGATAATATGATTAGAAGGGTTACATCTTGGTTGGATATTTTACCAGGATAAAGAAAAAAAAAAAAAATTCTGGGAGAATTCCTTTGCCTAAGAGGGAAGCAGGACTTAATTTAGTACCACCCTGATTTTGGTTCATGAGTGTGTTTTTATCTGTATACAGATGCAATGTGTGTGTGTGTGTGTGTGTGTGTGTGTTGTGTGCATGTGCGCATGTGTGTGCATGTGTAGCAGCTTTGGGTGTCATTCCTTGGACACTGTCCACCTTTTTTTTTTTATTTTTTGAGACAGGTTTCTTACTGGCTTAGAACTCACCAAGTAGGTGAAGCTGACTGGCCAGCGAGCTCCAGAGATCCCGTTTCCCTGATTACAAGTGTACCCCAGGCCTTTATAAAAGTGAGGCCCTCATGCTTGCCCAGCAAGTACTTGACTGACTGAACTGCCCCGCAGCCCTTCACTCTCGCCTCCCGTGGAAGCCCCTCTTCATGATGTGCATTTGTGTTCTCTACCGATATGTGATTTGGATTGTGTATAGAGGAGACTTTACTTTTTTCTTTGCAGATGAACACAGGCTTCACAGTGGCAAACTCTGTCTGATTATCCTTACATGTATTGCAGAGGTAGGTCTTATGGTGAACTTTGGTTTCTTCCAGAGTTCTCTTTTCTGCCCACCCCTGTTTTCTACCCTTGTTTCATGACTCGAGGTCCTTTTGTGTGGTCCATCTCCTTCCTCTAGAATGTGAGCGTAGGTATCAGGGCCCTTGCTCTCATCACCTCTGAGTTCTCATTATCTGGCGCACAATAGAGACTCAGCAGTATTAGATGAATTAATGATGACTTTTGAGGTGCTGGGAGATGTCACTCTTGGTAGTGTGCTTGCCTAGCATTTATGAGGCCCTGGCTTTGATTACCAACACCACATATAAAACCTGACCAGGCACAGCACTCTGGAAGCAGAGACAGGAGGATTCGAACTTCAAGTCTTTCCTTGGCTCTAGTAGTGAGTTTGAGGCCAGCTGGGGAATACACGAGGCCCTATTTCAAACATGACAAAACAAAACTGATATATAGTAACTATGGTAGTTGAGAATAGGATAGATGGTTCTGGCTTGGTTCTCCAAACATCCCCTTTTTTAAAGACAAGGGTCTGTTATAGTTCAGGCTGCCCTTGAACTTCTTATGTAGTTGTGGATAACCTTGAACTTGTGACTGTTTTGTTTCTACCCTCTGAGTGATGAAGTACAAGCACACAGTGTCCCACCACACTTGGTTTATGTGGTGCTGGGATTGAACACGGCCTTGATGTGTGCTGGGCAAGACTATGCCACGTGAGCTACATCCCCATCTCTATTCTGGCCCTGAACAGTTCTAACCAAAAGATTTCATACTTCCTAGAAAACCAATCCTTTTCCTTTGGAGCTGCCCAGGTTGTGTCTTTTGCATTTAGTAAACTCAAAAAGGGGGCAGAGGGTTAGAAGAGGGACAGGAGAGTGGCTGCGCTTCGGTGGTGACCAAGAGCTGGCGGAAGAAGAGATGTGTATGAGCCACTTTTCTCATTTCTGTGATCACATTCTAGATAAGTAGCAATTTTCATGTGGGTGAGGTTGCTCAGCCGGTAAAGGCACCTGCTGCCAAGCCTGTCCATGAGTTTGATCCCTGGGGTCTTCATGATGGAAGGAGAAAGTTGACTGACTTTTTTTTCCCCCTGAGAAGGGTTTCTCTGTATAACAGCCCTGGCTGTCCTGGCACTCACTCTATAGATCAGGCTGGCCTTGAGCTCTCAGAGATCCACCTGTCTCTGCCTCCCAAGTGCCCATAGGGCAGTACATCTAGGATGAGTCTTCAATCCCTTAGTGTGATCTCTTGGAAGACACGCTTGTCAGGCTGTCTGTGACAATTATCTTTGGAAAGATGCTTCTTCATGAGTAGGCTCTTTTGGCTAGGTTGACTAGTATTGACATCCAGGCATGGTGGGACTTGAGTTAGTTTAGAGCTAACTGTATAGCTTCTGCCTCTGCTGGCAGAACTCCCTTCCCTGGTCTTTGTGTTTTAAGAAAATAGCCAAGGTAGTCCACAGGGGTGTAGCCGTCTCTCACATGTTCCCTTTCTGTGTTCTCTGTGGGAAGTTGAGCTCTTTTCACAAGGCTCAGGGGGATGTTGGTTCCAGAAGAGCTACTTATTAACAGTGGGCCTAGTATAATTGCCTTTCAACAATATTTCAAAGAAAATCTTTAAAGGAGTTGTTTCTCACAAATTGTAACAGTTCCTTGTAATTGGAGTCTGTTGGCATGTCAAATCTCAGAAAGGTGTTGGGAAAGAGCCAAGGGATGTTTATTTCCAATGTGCTGTGAGAAGGGTTTGCTTTTCCATCAGTCTTTAAGACAGGGAGGGACGGGTCTTGTCTGCTTCAGTGATGCCAGGATAGCAGTTCCTTCCCGCTGTGCTGAAGTCACTCCCGGCAGAGCGCGCACAGGCCCCCTCATTCCTAGAGCCTCATGGGGCGCCAGCACATGCACCCTCCTGCCCTTCTAAGAGCCTCCAGCTGTCACAAACACAGCTGACTCCTTGGGCAGATGGAAAGGAAGAGAGAATAGGAAAACAGATTCCTCTCATCATTTGTCTCAAGTCTCTGGATTTTAATTTTTATTGTATTTAATTTTCTCAGAGATCTTTGACCCATTAAAGACATACTGGGAAATTATACTCAATTTCATGGCTTTAAGTAAGGGATTAATGTAAAGGCTGTAGGCTTATCACATTAGCTCTCCAACTGATCCTGGAAGTAATTTATAAAGGTCCAAGGATTTGGACTGAGAATGTAATTCAATTGGCTAAGCACTTGCTTAGCATGACAAAATCTGGGGTTCAATCTCCTCCTCTGTATAAACTCATATGCCTATAATCTCAGCACTCAGAGGCGGAGGTGAAGGCAGCAGGAGCAGAAGTTCAGGGCTATTCTTAGCTTCAGAGGGATTTAGGCCAGCCTAGGCTAGAGACCTTGTTTTGGGCTTGTGGGGAGGAAAGAGGGAGGATTTTATATGATATATTTCAAATGCATGCATTCATGTCTGCCTGCTTGCTTGCCTTTCTTTATTCCCACCGTTCTTTGTTTCTCCCTTCCGCCCCACCTCCCATCCCATTTCCCTTCTGTCTTTTAAAAATGTGTATTTATTTGTGTGTGTGCATTCGTGCATATGTGTGTACTTGTGTGTCTTGGCTTGCATATGGAGCTCAGAGGACAGCTATGTGGGTTGCAAGGATCAAGCCCAGTTAGTCATGCGGCTTGGTGGTAAATGTCGTTAGCCACTGAGCATCTCACCAGCTCCTGTCCCTCTGTCTTTCTTGCTCTTTCTAGCTTTATTGTATTTCCGTCTTTCCACAGGGTCTCATGCATCTTAGATTGGGATTAAATTGGCTGTGTAGTTCAGGGTGACCTTAAATTTCTCCTCTTCCTGTCTCCATCTCCCAAATGCTGAGTATTATAGGCATGTGCCGCCATGCCCAGTTGAGTCTTATACACAGTTCTCACATCTTACCTCTTCTATTTTTATTAGGATCAGTATGCCAATGCATTTTTACATGATGACAACATGAATTTTCGAGTAAACTTACATAGAATGGTAGGTGTGACTTCCTTCTACTTCTTGTTTTTAATAGACAAGTGTTTGTGTGTTGTCTGAATTGGGATGAAATTGACTCTTAAAGAACAAATGTAGCTGGATAATTGTGCCTAGAGGGTTCAGGGCGTGATTGCTTGTCCTCAGATCCATGTCTGTCTTGGGGTTTTTTGTTTGTCATAGAACTATCTTTTGCTCAGCTGAAGATAGAAAGATCCACAACCAGCTGAGCAGTGGTGGTGCACACATTTAATCCTAACACTCGGTATGTAGAGGCAGGTGGATCTCTGTGTTTGAGGCCAGCCTGGTCTACAGAGCGAGTTCCAGTACAGCTCATGCTACACAGAGAAACCCCATCTCAAAAAACAAAAAGAAAAGAAAAAAGATCTATAACCAAATAGCTGCTATAGTAATATTTGAGAATATAACATAGATTTAAAAAATAATTCAAGTCTACGTCTCTTATTTTCAAAAGATAGTATTTATTTTTTCGTTATTTTAAAAGTTACATTGTGTGTGTATGTTCAAGCATGTGTGCGTGTGCATGTATGTGCGGATGCCCATCTCTCCTCTGCATGTGTGTGTGTGCACAGTGTAAGTGTGGGAGTGGGCGTCAGAGGATGGCTGCAGGAGTGGAGTGTGTTCCCTCCCTCTGTGTGCGTGTGCATGTATGTGCATATATGTGCGGATGCCCATCTCTCCTCTGCATGTAAGTGTGGGAGTGGGCGTCAGAGGACGGCTGCAGGAGTGGAGTGTCTTCTCCCCCTCTATCACTTGGATCCCAGAACTTGACCTTAGGTTGTCAGATGGTGGCAAAAACTGCTGAGCTAGTTTTAAAGCCATGCCCCCCTTTGACACTGAGTCTTTTGTAGCTCAGACCAGCCTCAACCACACTATGTAGCCTGAGCTGGCCTTGAACACCTCATTCTCTTGCTTCCAGCCCCTTCATGCTAGAATTACAGATGTCCACCACCATGCCCAGCTATATAGCATGCTTTTTATCAGATAAGACAATTGACTACCAGTTTCCCTGCCAGCTTGTATCCACAGCCGTATCAGCCCCCAAATAACACACAGAGACACTGTATTAGATATAAAGCTGTTGGCCTGTTACTAGCGTTTTCTTATTGGCTAGCTCTGTCTTAAATATTAACCCATTTCTATTAATCTAAGTGTTTTCATGTGGTCTTATCTTACCAGAGAGACAGTCCAGACCTCTTTTCTCACAAGTATCTACATCTTAAATCTCCTTACTTCATCTCCCAGAATCATCCTTGTCTCTTAATTCGCCCTATCTTGCCTATCTATTGGCCAACGGGGCTTTATTCATTAAGCAATAAGAGAAACATATTTACAGAATGACATCTCCCATCACAATGATCTGCTTTAATTTATTCACCTGAGAGGTGGAGAAAATGGAATATGGAAGATGAAGATCAGGCTAGAGGTATGTAAAAAAAGTACCACAGCATGGCTTAAATTTGAAACTTAGTGTCCACCCCCCAGTTGCTGACTGTATAGCTACCATTATCCTCTCTTCTATTTATTTAGTTTTTACTTTTTTAACTTACTTTTTATCTTATATGTATAGGTGTTTTGCTTACATGTATTTTTGTGTACCACTTATGTGCCTGGTACCTGAGGAAGTCAGAAGAGGAACTGGAGTTACTGATAGTTGTGAGCTGCCATGTGGGTTCTTATAACTAAACCCAGGTCCTCTGGGAGAGCAGCCAGTGCTCCTAACTGCTGAGCCATGTCTCAAGGCTCTACTTTCGTGTGTGTGTGTGTGTGTGTGTGTGTGTGTACATGTGTGTGTGTGTACACGTGTGTACGTGCATGCGTGCAGGTGCATTGTGTACATCTGGTAGTCAGGAGAACCTTTGGTGGTGTTCCTTAGGTATTGTCCACCTCTATTTAAGACAGGATCTCTTATTGGTTTGGAGCTTGCCAAATAGGCCAGGCTGGCTAGCTAGGGAATCTGAGAACTCTGCCTGGCTCTGACAACCCATTCCTGGGTTTCACATGAATGCCACTGTTCCTGACTTTATGTGGCTTCTGGGGGTTGACCTTGTGCTTTCTTTTTACCAGCATCTTCCCAGCTCTACTTATTTTTATTAATTGGGTTTTTTTTTTTTTTCATTACTGTAGAAGAGTATCAGTGTACCTTCTTTGTGAATAATGCTATCTGCACAGTTTAGATAAAGTTCAGGTGACATTTGTCCTGTTGTAGAGTATATCAGGGCTCTTTAGGACAGACTATTTATTGTCTTGCTGTTAGTTGTATTTATTTACTTATTGGTTTTATGAAACAGAGTTTCTCTGTGTAGCTCTGGCTAGCCTGTAACTCACACTGTAGACCAGGCTGGCCTTGAACTCACAGAGATTCACTTGCTTCTGCCTCTTCCTCCTGACTGCTGGGATCAATGTCGTATGCCACCGCAACTGGCTTTTTTTTTCTAATTATTATTTTATGTGCATTGGTGTTTTGCCTACATTGTATCTGTGTGAGGGTGTCAGATCCTCTGGAACTGGAGTTACAGACAGTTGTGAACTGCCATGTGGTTGCTGGGAATTGAACCTGGGTCTTCTGGAAGAGCAGCCAGTGCTCTTAAGTGCTGAATCATCTCTCCAGCTCCTGTAAATTGTATTTTTGTCACAGGCCTTCATCGATAACTCAGAAGCACTTCCCTGTCCTTCCAGCACCCCCCCCCCCCCCAACACACACACTAGACACAATAAGACAAGACAGACTCGGTAGAGTAAATCTCTGTAGTAGAGATTGCATTTGCATGAGAAACACGATACACTACTGGATTTCAGTTCAAGTGTCTGCTAACTCCCTTTCTTCTCTGTGTGTTTTTGAAGCCTATGAGACACAGGAAGAAGGCGGCTGACAAGAACCTTCCTTGCCGTCCCCTGGTGTGTGCAGTCCTGGGTGAGTGAGTGTCATCACATGGCAGGTTTCTGAGGCATTGATGCTTTTCATGAGGAAGGTTTTGGGTGCTGTGCTTTTCCTCAGCATAGATACAGAAGAAGTTTTGTGTACTCTGTAAACCAACCCCAATAACCATGAAAGGATGCCCTGCTCAAAAAACAAAGCAAAACAAAACAAACAAAAACCCAAAACTTTGCTGGGACAGAAATGAGTATGACATACTTGTCACCAAGATTTCAAATTCTTTACTTCTCTTTCATGGTCTGCATTGATGTGTCAAAAGGTCAGAGGTTTAAAATCAGAGACCCAGAGATGGAAAACTTCCGCTGAATAAATGTGGTTGAGACAGGGCTGGCAGAGCTGATAGATAGGGGCTGTATCTTGGGTCATTTTGTCTGTCCAAAAATATGCATTTCCTTTAGAGGAATTAGTGTAACTCTTCATTTCCTTTTCACTTGGATGTTCAACCTCAGTTCCTGAATCTATCTGACTTAGGAACAGTAATGAAGACCATACAATAAATTCTATTGGCCAAGAGCCCCACATACCATTCCCGTCAAGCAGCATGATGGTGAGCTGGACACACTGATGTAGCTTTAGGGTTGAGTCTGCCTGTGGAATGGGTTCCAGACTTTTATCTTTGCTTGCCTCATGCTCTAGTCTCAGATTTCCCTCCATCAGCTTATATTTGTGTTCAATGAAATTTCCCTTGTATCTAAATTTATTGTCAGGTCCTTTAGAAGTAGGAGTGTTCAGCTTGTTAACTTACAGGAGAGTGAGCTGCTACTTTGCTGAAACCTAGTGCATGAAGCATTTTACTTGTTAATTTTCAAATGGCAAGTGTTACAAAAGTGGCATAGAAAATAAATTGGATTCATGCAGATAGATGTTGGCAGGGGATGTCACTCAGTGTGAAGGTGGGGGACACCAATCATTGTGAGTACAATGCACACACAGCTTTGAGAAGCTTTTCTCCCCAACTCAAATGTAGGAGTCAATTTCGCTGTGACTGATGTCATTTTTCTCCATTTCCCTTTTAGACCTGATGGTGGAGTTCATTGTAACACACATGATGAAGGAGTTCCCTATGGATCTCTATGTGTAAGTACCATGGTTCATTTTATATATGCACATTTATTGTAAAGAATAAAGTGATAGAAAATTTATAGTCTGTTTTACTTCAAGAAAAACACATTTGCCTGAGAGATGGCTCAGTGGTTAAGACTGAATATTGCCTTTAGAGAACTCAGTTCCCAGCCATCTAGTGCAGTTCATAACAACCTATCATTCTACTTCTGAGCTGTCTGACACTTCTAGCCTCTGTGGGAACCCATACTCATAGGTATATACCCACACACGTACATGTGATTGAAAATAAAACAAATCTTTAAGAAAATCAAGAGTCTTTAACAAAGGGGGAAAAAGGAAGTATTTGTGTGTGAAGAAATATCAAGAACCATCGTATTAATCTTTTTAGGAGGGGAAAAGTACAAACTACAATTTGGGTTTTGCATATCTCTTCACTATCACTTTATTTATTTATTTATTTATTTATTTATTTATTTATGTTTGTTTGTTTGTTTTGAGACAGGATTTCTCTATGTAGCCCTGGCTTTCCTGGAACTTGCTCTTGCAGACCAGGCTAGACTTGAATTCACAGAGATCTGCCTGCCTCTGTGTGTAATCCTAATTGGTCTTATCAGTAAGAACCTGGAGTTAGAGCAGAGAAGCAGCCACTAGAGCTCTTACTGTACTGAAATCTCAGACTGAAAGGGTGACATCCTGTCTGCGCCCAGCCTTATCACTTCCCGTCTGTCTCCTCTCTGTACAGACCTCCAGACATCTTTGGTTAACTAGTGGCTAGCTCTGCTCTTTGATCTCCAGGCAAGCTTTATTTGTCAGAACACAAACACAAACAAAATACCACAACAATGGGCATATTGGTGCAGGCCTGTAATCCTTGCACTTGAGGAATTGGTGAAGCTGAGTTATTTGAGACCTTGTACACACACGCTCTCTCTCTCTCTCTCTCTCTCTCTCTCTCTCTCTCTCTCACGACAAGAGAATTAGCACCTTCACTTTTCCTTCTGAAAGTGCCATTGGTATGCTCACTGGGCACACTTTATCCCAGTGTCAGGGTGTAGATATGTACAGGACTTCACACACCAGACCTCCAGCTTTTCAGATTGCTTACGGACTGTGTATGCCTTGGTTTCCTGGGTCTAGTGTAATAATATAAATTTTACCTTTGGATCAGTAAGTTATAGTTTGCCACACTTTTTGGATTTTTAGAAGTCTGATGCTTGATTTTAATTCAAAGACCAATGAAACTAGATGAATTTCTGTTTATTTTAGATAGTCTATGAATACCAGTACCTTAGGGATTAGATATGGTTTTGCTATAAACTTCCTGACTTGTTTCCTTCTGTTCTTTCCTCCTTCATTTGTTTTTGAAGTGTATTTAATATTATTATTGTTTTTGTTTTCATGAGGCAGAATTTTACTACATAGCTCTTACTGTCCTGGAACGCACCATGTAGATCAGGCTGGCTTCAGACTCACAGAGATCCATCCGCCTCTGCCTCCTGAGTGCTGGGATTTTAGGAATGGACTACCATGCACAGTTCTGTTTATTATTATTCTTTATGTGCATGATCTTGTGTGTGTGTGTGTGTGTGTGTGTGTGTGTGTACATACATACCTGTGCTATGTCAGGACAGAGGACAGATCGGGGGAGTTGGTTGGTTCCTTCCACCATGTAGGTCCTGGGATCAAGCTCAGTTGTCAGGCTTGGTGACAAGTGCCTTTACCCTCTGAGCATCTTTCCAGCCCCTGCCATATTATTAATGAGGGTTGTTGTTTTGAGACAGGGTCTTCCTGTTTAGTTAAGGCTAACCTGGGACTTGCTATGCAAACCAGGCTGGCCTCAAACTCATGATTCTTCTGCAAGGTAACAGGGATAACAGGTGTGTATCACTATTCCTAGGTATGTCCTACTTTAAAATATTCTATTTAGCCGGGCTGTGGTGATGTACACCTTATACCCCAACACTTGAGAGACAAAGGCAAGCAGATCTCTGTAGTTTGAGGCCAGCCTGGTCTGCAGAGTGAGTTTCAGGACAAGCCAGAGATAACACAGAGAGTCCCTGTCTTAAAACAAAACAAAACAAAAAGACAAAACTTGTCTTTGTGGGTGTGTTATATAAATATGCCATTTTCTTTGTACTGTAAATCACCGTAGTGTGTGTATTATATAAATGTACTATTTACTTTGTATTATAAATCGCTGTAGTTTTATAACTAAGGGAACTGAGGCTTAGTTGATTAGGTGCTTTTCTCAGGGTTATTCTCAGGCTATCTTTTATACTTGTGAATCCAGTTTTTTGGTTTTCCCTCCATTTTGTTTGTTTTTGAGATGGGTCTCATGTAGACCAGAATGGCCTTGAAGCCCTATGCCAGTAAGAACGACTTTAACTTCTTACCCTTCTGCTGCTATCTCCCAAAGATTGCAGTTATAAGTGTACTACTAGACCAAAACATTTTTCTTGTCCGTCCCCCCCCCATCCATCCCCTCACCCCCCCCCCACAGGGTTTTTCTGTATGGCTTTGGAGCCTGTCCTGGAACTCACTCTGTAGGCCAGGCTGGCCTTGACTCACAGAGATCCTCCTGCCTTTGCCTCCTAAGTGCTGGGATTAAAGGTGTGCACCACTAACACCTGGCTGAATATTCATAATTTCACAGTTTCTGCAGTTTAGCAATCTGTGAAAAGTTCAGTTGGGTAATTTTAGCATAAGACCTCTCATGGGTCTATAATTTATTTATTTTAAACTGATAGTCATGTATCCCAGGCTGGCATTTGCTGTACAGCTAAGGATGGCCTTGAGCTTCTGATCCCTTAGCTTCTATTTACTGAATGCTAAGATTACAAGCATATGCTGCCAAGCTTGGTTTTATGTGGTGCTAGGCATGAATCCAGGTCTTTGTGCATGTAAGCAAGCACTTTACCAACTGAACTACATCCCCTGTCCTGGCCTGGAGCTTGATGTATATCCTGTGAGTGTCAGTTTGTCTCAGGAGTATTGGACTCAGAAGGCTATGAGAAAAAAGTGTTAGTTGGGGCTGAAAGTCGGTGAACTTCTTCTGGAATTGGAGAGCTTACTTAATAGTTATTGACAAGCATTGCATATTTGTGTGTGTGTGTTTGTGTGTGTGTGTGTGTGTGTGTGTGTGTGTAGGTCAGAGGACAATTTGCAGCATTCGGTTCTTTTACCAAGTAGATCCTGGGGGATCAAACTCCGTCTCTTGGGCTTGGTGGCAGGCATCTTTCCTGCTGAGCCATCTTGCTGGCACAAACCTCAGTTCTTCACCCCAGTTTCTTTTTAGGTTGTTGAATATGGCAGTTAGCTTTCTTCAAGCAAGTAATCCAACAGAGAAAGGAATGTAGAGCTCAATGTGGAAGATGTAGCATCTGTCATGATTGACTACCAAGTATTCTGCATTTCTTTCGGGCACATGGATATCATGTGGGAGGAATTATGCAAGAGTGCTATTGTTTGATTGTTTCTCTTCCAAGTCATATTTTGGAAACTTCAGTGCAGCAGTATGGGCGTGAGGTGTCTAGATCATGAGGGCACCTCCCTCCTGTGCAGATCATTGTCAATTTGCACCTTCTCTTCCTCCCTGCCTTCAGCCTTCTGTGTATGTTTGTGTGCACAGTGTGTGTAAGCCATTGTCCTTGTTTCTTCTGGCTTCCACTATGAATAATGCCTAGAAGGCTCTCCTTCCTAGATGCTAGCACCTTGATATTGGACTTTCCAAGGAACAAATCTCCTTGTAAATTATTTCATCTGAGACAAAGAATGTGAGTTCCAGGAGGATTCTAGAAGCCATGTTTCAGATAGTTAGTGAATATATAGAGGAAGGGTAAGCACAGAGAAAGATTACAGGAGAACGTAGATGGCAGAAGAGTTGAAGGCAGGAATGTCTTGATAGGATTGTATGTTTACAACTGTAGAGTTACAAGTATGCACCTGTCCACCCAACCCTTTACCTGTTTGCAGTGGATGCTCTGCACCCCCATCCCTCACCTGTAGATCCCAGCTTTATCTGGGACATTTTCTGCTTTTGTCTCCATCTGCTTCCTGGTTGACTCTGCTGAGGTTATGGAAGGTGGTGAAGATGAGAAGGCCAGGCAGAAGGTTCCACCTTCAGATTGAATTCACTTTCTCCATGCTGCTATCCATAGATATGTTCCAGATTTTCCTTCCCCCACTTCCATTTCCGTTTTCAGTTTTGGTATTTGGCGCACCAAGTCCTTTTTAGGTGAACTTATCTGCTCCCAGCTGGGCAGCAGGCCAGGTTGCTGCTCTGACTTCTCATTATGTACAGCCTCTCAGCAGCATGGGGCACAAAGAGGAATTGAAGCAAAATGAATTCCTACCATTTCAGATAAGTTTATAATCTTGCCGGTGAAGTATGAAGAAATATGGAGTACAGAAATACTTAGCACCCAGAGCAGAATCTGGGTCAGAAGTGAGACACGTCTCTTCTCTGTGTCTGAGTGTGGTAGGAACGGCGGTGACAGGACGGGTGGCTTCTACAGGGGAAAGCAGTCTTGCCGGGAGCTGTGAGCACTAGAAGAGCCCCAGCGCAAGCTGCACTCTTGCTGCTATCCCTGTTGTTACCACAGGGTTTGAGACAGAGGAGAAATGAATTCAGGGAAATAAATCTTAACTCCCTCTTAAGTGGAAAAGTTAAGCCTACCCCGTTCTTTTTTGAGACAGGTTATACAGAAGATGCAGGAGAAAGGGGAAGTTGGGAGGAGGCAGGGCTATCTTTTCTTAGGCTGGGAGACCACTGTGTGCATGGGGGACACCCCAAGAAGCAGTAAACTTGGAATCTGCTAGTATGTATTTTTAAGGGTGTAACAGTTGTTAAATTTGTTTTTGTTTTTTTCCTTTCTAGACAGTCTTGCAATGGAACCCAGGTTGGCCTCAAACTGCCAAGCTTCCTGCCTCAGCATCCTGAGTGCTGGGATTATAAGTGTTTTACGCTCCTCCTTGGCACCATGCTTGGTAAATAGTCTGAGGCATTGTGAGAGCACCTATCGGGCACCTCTTAGGTGGATGTGAGACAGCAAGAGGCCTTTTTGGAGTATTGTATTTGGCCTTTAAGTAGGGGGCACCAGGGGTGTCGGAAGCATCTCAGCCGCTCTGGAGTGTCCACAGCAGCTAAGGTGTTTGCTTGTTCAGGTTCAGCCCGAGAGGCGCTGGTATACAGTCATGACCGTAGTGCATGTCAGTGGTCACATACAGCAGCATCCAGCTATCCTTGTTGGTTGCAGCAACTTTAGCAGCTGGAACTTTATCACTGTCAATTTTATGGAGATACTGTTAGAAGCTTTTATAGATTGGCTAAAGCAAATCATGGCTCAATTGAGACTATCATTTAGGAGATTGTTGTGCAATATTTGTTTAACTAGGCAAGGATGTGTTACATTTATTTATGCTGCTTTTATTTAACTATGTAAAGATGTATGTTGCATTTACATTAATTAAATAAAATTAACCTGATATCGAGGTTTAATAAGGATCAGGATAAACAATTAGGCCGAACAGATGTTTATTCAGGGAGAAATAACTCACAACATAGACAGGTGAACACCAGCAGGTTCCTGCTTCCAAGAATGCCTCTGGAAGTCCTCCTGTCCTGTGTGGCTTGCAAGAGAGCGGTCCCCCCCACCCCACCCCTCTTCCTCAGACCTAGTTCCCCTGTCACTTCCGCCCCTGGCTCCACCCCCAATGGGCGTGGTCAGTGCCACAGAAGGAGACAAAGTGAATATCCCACTACCTTAGCAGGGAGGAGCTTGATGGTTTTTTGTAGTTAGGGATGTGTGGAAGGAGAGGGGCTTCCTGGACTCCAGTAAAGAGTTTAGCCAGTTGCTACTTTCTCTGAGCTTTCAGGTTTTCACCCTAGTCCTTTATTAGAACAGTAGAGATTCAGTTAAAACTATCTTTAGTGGCGGCGGCAGCAGAGTCATTGTCTGGTGGGGAGGGGGCAGAATTCCCCCCTGGACGGCCTGAGTGGCAGGGTTGCTAGCAGTTTAAAGAGTAGCCGCTGTGAAGGGGAAACAGTCGCAGATGACATCAAATGAGATGATGTCACCATTTCTAAAAAATAAGGAAATGAAGCCAGGCAGTGGAGGCGCACACCTTTCATCCCAGCGCTCCAGAAGCAGAGGCAGGTGGATCTCTGAGTTCGAGGCCAGCCTGGTCTACAAATCTAGTTCCAGGACAACCAGGGATGTTACACAGAGAAACCCTGTCTTGAAAAACAAAACACAGAAAGCCCAAACCAAACCAAAAGAAGGAAATGATTTGGAAACTGTTAGAATGGTTTATTTGGAATTGTATTACTTGGTAGGCAGTCTCAGTATAGGTTAGGTTTTTCTTTTTTGGGTGAAAGAAAATTATTTAAAATTTGTTGATGTATGTGTTACTTTATATTTTTTGTGATTGCTAAATATTTTATGTGGGCATGTGGTGAAATATGAAAATCTGACAATTTTAGTGAGTTACTTCTCTTATCTTGTTGAGGCAGAATCTCCCTTGTTTCCACCATCCTGTAGACTTCAGGCTTACTGGCTTCTGGGTAATTCTGTCTTCATCTCGTAGCAACTTGGTGTCAGCGTGTTGAGATTACAGATGTGTGGCATTGTGTTCATGCTTCTTTTCATGAATTTAGGGATGGAATGTGGTTACCAGGCCTGTTGGAAAATGTTTTTACTGCTAAGCCATCTCCATGGCCTGATAGTTGTTGTTTAGAGACAGAAGACTTGCAATGTAACTTTCAATGGCCTAATTCTTTCTTTTTAAAGCATTTATTTTTATTGTATGTGTTTATGTGTTTCGCCTGCATATGTGCATGTACTGCCCAAGAAGGGAAGAAGAGGGCATTGAACCTCTTGGAACTAGATGTGGGTGCTGGGAATTGAACCCGAATCTTTTGGAAGGATAACAAGTACTCTTAACTGTTGAAACACTTCTCCAGCCGCACACCTATTATGTTCTATGTCGTCCAGGCTGGCCTTGTTGTCTTGTCAGTCCCTGCTTCAGGCTGGGGTTGCCAGCGTATGCCACCACAGCTGGCTTAAATTTAGCACATCAGTTTACATATTGCGTAAGCACACTTTACTGTTTGCTTGTGAGTGCTGATAGGCATTTTAATTCCTGTAGCTGGTTTCTTTGGCTCTTAACCTCTCAGAAGAAGGGTAGTAGTGTTCTTTCCTCCTTTGCTAGGAGGATAGCTACCCATAATTTAGCTTATTTAGTGACCAGATTGGTACCCATACACAGGTGCAAGTAGCATTCCAGGCTTCGCTCGATGCCTTAGATTAAAGTTGCAGAATCTGAGAGTTTCAACTCTGCTTAGGAAATACCCTCTACTTGAAGCTGCCATTCAGCTGATGCATACTTGACTATCTTAGAAAACGTCTATAAAGTGCCACCTCCTGCAATGTCATTTTACCTTGCTTATTTGGTTTTTCTGTTTTCGTCTTTATTCTTCCATCTTGGAACAGTTTCTAACGAATGAACGAATACAAAGATAGGCCTGAGCTGGGTGTAGCCCCTGTACTTTAATCCCGGCTCTAGGGAGGATGGAGGTCAGCCAGGGCTATAGAGCAAACCTCAGCCAACAGATAAAGATGAGATGTCACCTGAGGCAGCCTGAGAAATTCCCCTGATCTTTTAGGAACCTCAGCTCAGGTGAGATCAGATCTTTTGTTTTGTTGTAGAAAAGCATTTCAAGACAAGCCATTATGTAGTAGATTTGGACCCAGGGATCAAACTCCCTTGTCAGACTTGACAACAAGCATCTTTACTGATAAATGAGCCATTGCATTGCCCCTACCCAACCCCACCCTTTCCTTTTTTGAGGCCAGGTATCGCTATATAGCCCACATTGTCTCAGCCCCTTGAGTGCCGGGATTACAGCACCATGCCCAGCCACATGCTACTGTTGCTGTCATTGGAATCGTTGTGATGCATCTTTCCTCCCTGGAAGGAAGGATACTCAAGGGTTAGGCAACAATGGTGCCTCATTCTAGACCTCCGAGTGGTTGTAGCCCCATGAATAACACAAATTGTGTGTGTGGGGGGGGAGGGTGGTGAGAGACAGACATAGAAAATTTGGATTATCCTTTTCTTTGGGGGCTGTGTGTGTGTGTGTGTGTGTGTGTGTGTGTGTTGTATGTGTTTGCCCTCAGTTTTAGTGACCCGAGCAAAGCTGTCTCCCTAAGGGAGGGCACTGGTGAGCTGTCTGAACCCCAAGGCTCACCGAGTTTTCTTTTTTACTGCAGGCGGTGTGTCCAGGTTGTGCACAAACTGCTGTGTTACCAGAAGAAGTGTAGAGTCCGCCTGCACTATACCTGGCGGGAGCTCTGGTCAGGTAACCCTGCTCTTTGGACTGTTCTCTTCCTCTGCGCTTTGATGAGCTCCTAGGCTTGTGCCCAAATTGTTACTAGTCTTTCACCCTTGCAGTTGGCTACAGTGATTCTGTTTTCACTTGCATTATTTATTTTTAACACTTCAGTCTTGTTAGAATCTAGACTTGAGTGTGCTATGTGGTCCACTCTTTTCTCTATACTTTTTTTTTTTTTTTTTTTGTTAGCCTTTAGAAACAAATGATGGTTTCTTGAGTTCTAGGGCTAAAGGTGATAGCTTGGTAGTAATTGCCTAGCAAGCATAAGGCCCTGGATTTGATCCCTAGCACCGAGAAAAAAGGAAAACTATCCCAGAAGAGGATATAATTTGTTAGCCAGGTATAATGGTACAAACCTGTAATCCCAGCATTGGAAGGAGAAGCAAGTAGATCTCTGTGGGTTTAAGAGCAGCCTGGGATACATAGTGAATTCCAGGCCTTCCAGTCTTAAATAACAAAACCAACCAAACAAAATGCCTTAAATCTCAAAGATTCTGGCTTTGTGTAGCAGCGAGGAGGAATCAGTGTAAACTTGGATTCTCATCCTCTTCCATTTGGTAGCGGCATATGGACTATAGGGAAGCGGCTGTGTGTTTCCTCAAGATGAGTAATCTCAGGAGGAATGGCAGGAGGGTGGGGGTGGGGTGGGGGCGGAGAGATGGGGGAACCCTGTTCTTTTGTGACATCTGGCATTATTGCTGTTTACAGACTGTGTAGATGGTACCACTCCCCCTGTGCCAGAGACAAAACAGAAAATTACGATGTTTACTTTTATCTTTATATGCATTTGGTAACCCAGTGAAGTCACTGGCACCCTGCATGCTGGAAGTGTGTCTTCTCCAAGGGTACAATTAATGTGAGCTTGCCACCCTTCCTTTTGTGCGACTAAATTGGAGGTTTGGGAAAGCAAAGATTGTTCTCCGAGGCAGTTGTTTGCTGATAGGTCCTGTGGCTTTGTGACCCGAGGCTGTAATAGTTTCCCCCAGATGATTACAGATGAGTGGCTGCGCCTCCCATGGGTGTTCCTCTGTGTTGGGGACAGAAGAGAGTGTTAGTGTCAGGGGCTTTGTAAGAAACAGGCCAGGAGCCCAGCCCCCTTCATGGAACCCATCTCCCTTGTTGTGACGCATGGCTTCCTCCCGGCTTAATAAGCTTTCTAAATTTAGTCCTCCATAATGGGAGTAGAGATCTTTAATTAATGGATTAGCAAGTTTGTCAGCAGTTACTGTGTGTGATGGTGAAAGAGAGGGTAAGAGAGTCACTCTAATGGGGCAACAGTGGCAATTTCAGTTGAGTTTTAGGAGAGAAGAGTGTAATTATGAGAGTTTGGAATGGAGGGCACGTCAGAAGAGACTGAAAGAGAGCGAACTGACTGCGGGCGTGCGGGCGTGCGAGTAAATTTTGTTTGAGACTGGGTCTTAGCTATGTAGCTCAGGCTGTCCTTGAACTTGAGGCAGTCTTTCTGCCTCAGCCTCCCAAATGCTAGAGTTATAGACATGTGCCACCCATACCTGTCAAGTTAACTGACTAAATTTTTTTAATAGCAGAAAGTAGTCATTATTTCATATAGATAGTACAATTATAGAACCCCAAAAGCCTAGCATGTAAAAGAAAATGCAAAGCAGTGCACATGTGTGTTTGCAGCTGTAGAACAAATGCCAGTGGGCAGGGTCTGCCGCTGACACGAAGCTGCAGGAGCATTTAATGAGTCTGTGGCAGCAGCCCTCTGCCTCTGGCTAAGTGTCCTCCCACTCCCTGGCCTCGTGGACTGTAGTCTTCTCCCTCTCCCCCTCCGTGCCTGGCTGGCTCGCTCTTACTCATCGTCCTGTCCCGTTGTATGCTGCACACTGCTCCCTATGCTGCCCTGTTCTGTTTTCTCCTACTTCCATTTCATATTTCCTGTCATCTTTTTATTTATTTAATTGTTTTTTAGACAGGGTTTCTCTGTGTAGTCCGGGCTATCCTGAAACTTGCTCTGTAGATGAGGCTGGTCTTGAACTCAGAGATCTGTTGTTAATCCTGCCAGATAGGGTAAAGACCATCACTCACATTCTTGTAGAGGAATTAAGCAAGGTTTATTTTCTGTCAGACAGGGCTGTCTCCTGTAAGAGGGATTGAAAGAGAGCAGCAAACATAGGAGGTGGGATTTATAGAACCACCCCTCCCCAACCTACAAGGGTAGGGGATTTCCAAGGGCTGGGTGAATTTTTGGTTATGTAAGAAGTTGGCTGAACATCTCAAACTCACTTGGCAGGACATTTATTTTACCAGGGTATAAGCTGTGAAACATGTCAAATTCCAGAAAATGGGTCAAGAGCTGGTCAGATTTAAGTTCTGCAGAAAGCAGGAATGCACTTATTTTGACTTTGTAAAAAGATGGCTTCTAATCTTAAGATGGAGTCAGGTTGGTTCATCTTTGCCTGCCTGTCATTGCCCAAGTATACAACTATACCTGGCAGACGCTTAGCATTTTGCCAGTTTAGTTAGTAACTTGTGAAGAAAAGGCGATTCTTTAGTCTGTGTTGCTTGGTTGGCCTCATGCCTCTGAGAGCTTTTGTCATCAGCTCTGTGGCCGCTTGCTGTCTTAGTTCATACTCTGCAGTCCTCTTTGTATTGAGGGGAGGTGTGGGAGAAGTCATTAGTGAGACCCAGATGCCTATTGTTCCTACAGTGTGGATGTTTGTGTCAGAGGCTTCTGCTATGTGAGGCTAGCTTCCTTTCTCTCTTTTGTAAAAGTCGCATTTATTACTTATTTTTTATTGCTGCATATTACCTATTCTTGTGAAGATAAAGGGACAACTTACTAGAATCAGTTGTCACCTTCCACTGTTGGTGACCCAGGGATAGCATTGAAGTTGTCAGGCTTGGTGGCAAGCCTCTTTACCCTCTGAGCCCTCCTGTAACTGCAACTCTGTGTGTTCATACATGGAGTATACAGTGAGATGAACAGTAGCAGGTGTTAAGGAAAGCTGCAAAATACAACCCTACATCCAGTGCAGTTAGAGCCCATCATAATGTATATATAATATTGCACTCAGTGAATACGAGCGTGGCTATGTTGGATCCACCCACTCCTTGGCTGGCACTGCTCCTCATATGTCGGAATGCCCATGTCTTCTTTCTCTCTTTGCCTTGTAGATTTATGGATTTGAGGGAGGTGTGAAACTCATCATGGCAAATATACCAATGTAGAAAATGTTTGCCCATATATGTGTTGTGAATTATAAATGAAATTTATTTATACAAGAGTGTAGGGCATGTAAGGTTAGACTGAACAGCCGGAAACCCTTGAGCTTATAGAAGGCACTCAGACAGGGTCCTTTGTGCTTACAGTGCGGGCCTTCAGTGTCATTGTACTTCCTGAGTGCTGATTTTTATTTCTGGGGTTGCTGTCTGTTTTGGGGGAAATTGCCTGAATTCTCCAAAATCCCTGAAATGAATTCCGAAGAAAAGTAGATGCTGGAGAGGAAAGGCCCACTCTATTAGCTAGGAACTCAGTCTCACTTGATGCCTTTTCCTGTTTTACATCTGCAAGGCCTGACCCACACCCTGCTGCCAACCGATTGTACAATGGCTGTTGCCATGGTATCTGAGTAGGAGGATGTCTGAGCTCATTTCATTTGGGATGTGGAAGAAGGAAGTCCTGTGTGTCTGCTTTGCCCTTTCTTTTTAGCAACCATCATCCCCCACCCCACCCCCACAAGATGTAGAAAGTTTGGAAACTCTTCTGACCTGTAAATACCAGTCTCTGAACAAAAGCTTACCCGAAACTCCTCTCTGATAAAGACAGAAATTGAGGCTTGGAGATCATATCCAAACAAGACAGTTCTTTATCTTTGAAAGTGGAATGAAAGCAGGGCTCTGCATACCCAGAAATCATCTGTTTGTATGTGCATATGCCACATACAGTTTCAAGGAGTTCCTGAATCCTGTGAGGCTCAGACATGATCTCATATGGAAAAGAAAGGAGAAAAAAAACAAAAAACAAACAAACAAACAAAAAAAACAAAACAAAACAAAAACCCACTGCCCTGACTTTGACTTTACTTTCTCTAACTTCCCAAGGAATTCTTTTTTTCACAGGATAATCCTAAGCGTGCACGCACGCACGCACACACACGCACGCACACACACCGTGCTGCCTCCTATGGGGACTTTTAGCACCATCTTCTTTCTAAACTTTTTTTTTTTAAAAGGGCCTCACTTTGTAGTGCTAGCTGGCCTGGAATTCAAAGTGTAGACCAGGCTGGCCTCAAACTCACAGAAGTTTGCCTCTGCCTCCTCCTGAGTTCTGGGATTAGAAGCATACACACAACACCCAGATTCTCTCTGAACTTACTGAGACTACAAATTTTACTCTTCACTGTGTCTGACTTTCTGTTTGTCCCTGTGGCACTTTGGGCCATGTGTTTTTACTTATTTATTTGGAGTCTCCTGTAGTCCATTGTTTGTGTTCAGGGACCTGAACCCAGGTCTTCTGGAAGAACAACACGCACTCTTAACCACTGGGCCAGCTCTCTAGCTCACACTGCATAGAGACTTAGAATGTGAATGAATGAATGAATAAATAAATTCACAACTGGCAGTGTAGACTTCAGCACAATGCTGTTTCTACCTTAATGCAGCAGCGATGGCAGTAGTCCTGGCAGTAGCCCCTGAGAGTGGTTGCTGTGCTTCTGATGTGATGCCCCTCGTTATCTTTGGGCAGGGTCAAACCTCTGACCTAAATGCATTTGAATCGTTGAGGTGCAAAGGGAATGCTGAATACTCTCTTTACTTTTGTGCTTCTTCCTTATCCACACATGAACAGATGACTTTTAACCAAGTTAAAATGGAAACTCTGACTCTCCGAAGCCATTAACCAAAGAATAAGCAGAATTTTAAAGAGAGGCCTGCAGTTGTTGGAAAGGGAACCACTTGAACAGGGCCTCCTGGAGACAGCTTATTTTACTTCCACTGTAGGCAGA